TTTTTTTTTTTTTTTAGAACCGTTCAAATCTCATACGTATCAATTTATTTATCTCTTACTGCAAGGAATATCCTATGATATACTTAAACTCTGATATCTTGCCTTTCATTTACCCTGTAGGCTCTACTCGCAGACAGTCTTGTAGCTACTAAAATAGGTCGGAGCTTTGAGGCAATGAGAGTCTGTAGGACTCTTAGCTCCATGCATGCAATGGTTATCCTGGAAAACCAAAACTATTCTTTTGTTAATTTGCGATTCAGTGTGCAGGCAGAGTTACTTACGCTTGCAGCCTTGGGCGTGACCAGTTTGGATAATAGATTTAACGTTGCCGCTGAACTTGAAGCAGTCGCCAAGTTCGTCGCGGTGAGTGGTTAATGTGCCAAGATTCCCTCTAGTCTCATTGTTTCCACAGCCTGAAGAACTCCATATGCGGGACCCAATGACATTAAAGGGCAGTTCATCATCTTGAGGCTTAGCGGTGACGCCTATAGCCAGGATAGCATTGGTAAGGATAGTAGGAAAAAGCATATTGGTGATTGGCAGATGGGGAGATGCTGATCGAGTATTCAAGTGCTGTTCCTGTTTTCAAGAGATTGAAGGGTCGCTCTATTGGGTAGGTTCCGCTGGCTTTAAATATTTTACTCTCGTCCAGCTAAGCTACCACTGTATGCAAGCTGCAAGTATTAGCACTCGCAACACGTGATTCCATGTCACATGCTCCTTGGGCGTACCAATGCCATTCCGGTATTACAGTCCGAGGAAATGGTAGCTGCAAATGCAGCCCCTCAGTGACTCGACTGGAACATCGTATTTCGGACTTCCCGGTAGACCTACTTGCGACACAGCTCTTTAGTTCCACGTACGCAATCGATCGCCGCCAGCGGCATGATGGAAAAGAGCAAGACCAAGCCCGAAGCAAACCTCAGATTTCGTGATATCACATCATTCCCCCGCGCTGATACTAGCAATGGTCTAGTTCTGGAGTTGCAATAAACCAGATAAAGGAATTTTGTGATGCCTGCATATATGTATCTAAAGATACGGATGGTACTTGTTCCGTGACATTTGCTTTCCATTTACTGCATCCCTTCATGTGATCTTCGGACAACATGACCTGATCCGAAGCTCCTCAGCCAAAATCCGTAGGCCATTAGCAGCACATCTTCAGAAATACGTGCACTTTGTTTTGGGGTGACACAAGTTTATCCTTTGAATTAACCTCTAAAGCACAACAACGAAAGCCTTGAGCTTAACTACTGAACGTAGTTGACTGACTAAGCGCTTCAGAACAGAAGTGGATTGTATCAAAAGTACTGGGGATTCTCAAGTGCGGTCACCGAGCTTTGTTCTGATTATATCGATACAGGGTAAAGGTAGCAGAATTTTTTACGCCGTCATACCAGGCAAGTTCAGGAAACACAGAAACGAAGTTCACCTCATCAGAAATTCAGACAGCGTGTTTCTTATGGAATACCCAAAGCTAATTGATTGTATCATGACATATTTGTGCCTTTCTTGTATGTTCCCGATCGCACATGTCTCCATTTACTGAGCATCCACCAACGAGTTGCTCTCGTCATTCCAACGAACCATCTGTTCGAAGTGTGCGTGATCTAAATGGAAGCTGGATTCCTCGGACCTTGCACTAGGGTATTACGCCAAAGGCAAAGCCAGCAGTCTAGTTGGAATCACCCACAGTGAGGATCTTGCTGGCGAGCTCACAGTCGTCGAGAGAAGGGAGGAAAAGACGGACTACATCTAGAAGCTGGGAAAATAGAGTCTACCTAAGAGAATTACCCGGCTTACACCGAATTAGATCTTTGAGGAGGGTGAAAAGCCGGTAGAATTCTGTAAGATTGGTTGTAAGTTGGGTCAACATGAGCTCACTGTGCGATTCTGCAAAGAACCAATCGAGGTTCTCGACAGTCTGGATGCTGCTACACCTCTACGACTCCGTCTCGTAAGGATATACTTCGAAGTGTGTCAAAATCTTCAAAAAGCTATAGAAATCCTTGATCAAATATTCAATAGTCACCCAACTGGCTACATGCACCCCTTTCTGGGCGAGACTGCCCTCAGGATGATGACCAGCATCCCCGATTTGATGGCAAACATTCAGCTCGCGTTTTCCCGCAAATCTCGAGATCCTGCATACAAAGCTGAGCGAATTACTTCACTGGCTAGTCTTGGTCGATGTCTCTTTATAGTGGATACTCCACGTAAACTTGTCCCTTGGGCCGGTGCTCGAGAGTGACGCTGGCATGTAGGTATCTGGTCGTGGGAACGCCACATAAGCTGCCGTAGACTGTGCGGTCTATGCTGAAAGACTCTTTCGCCGGTCTCGATGATTCTGTTAGATGAAATGATGCACCTTCTCTCATGATCTTAGCACAGCTATTGAATAGCACCTTTGCTTCACACTCCCAATGTGCAGGGTCGCTGATGCGCTTCCGCAATTGCTGGAGACGATGAGGGTCAAAGGGCCTGTTCAGATGCTCGACTGGGTATTCATAGGTCCATTCGGATGCGTCGGTAGCGAATTCGGGCTCGAGGACCGCGTCGACTCGTTGTTCCGTCACATTTTTGAAGCCTTGGACAAGACGTGCAGCAAAATATTCGTCGGAAGGGTTTCGGCGTACATACTCATACCGGCTTATCGCAAACTTATCTCTATCTTATCTATGGCCTATTCCCGTCTTATCGCCGTCGTATCTTTATCCTTCCATCATTATCCTGATGTTGAGACACCCTGCAAATTATGAGCTCCCGCATGCCACTTACTATACGGATGTGAGTTGATAGGAGGTACATATTTGTAGGAATTATCTGCACCCGAAACAGGAAGTTGGCAGGGCACCTCATATCCTTCATTGTCTAAACCACGGGAAACAGACCGGATTGGAAACTCGGCCTTGAAATATCACCTTATTGGCTCTCACAACCTTCGTCTGTCCAAAAGGTACGGACTGTAGTCTTAGCACCATCAAAGAGATGATGACAAAGCTCGATTGTCCGCCAGCCCGACTTTCCCCGCTTTTCTCAAACCGATTACTCCAACAAGCAGACACAGAAGGCTCTGGGCGAGTATGGCCCAGAATCCGGCACGGAAACCGACTAAGAGCGCCTGCGAATACTCCAGGTGAGAATATTTCTTCGTGAACGAAGTCGAAACCGCTTGGGTTGTAGCTAAACCCACAGCGTTTCCAAACTGTGCAGCTGTATGAAAAACAGCACCGGCCCGACATTGACTTTCTTCGGGAAATGCTTCGGTAATTATGAGATGTCCAACAGTAAAGAGAATGTCGAAGGAGAACGGCAGAAGAAGCTGCGCAAAGAAGGCACCAGTCCAGTAAGGCCATTCGGGCTTGACCAAAGCCATAAGAAGAGGCGAACCCGATGACAGCAAAGTGGCGCCGGCCATGAGCCAGAAAGCCGGTAATTTGTCTACTATAAAACCTGTCGCCAAGTTGAGCGCTACCCCCATGATAGCGCTGGGGAGGATACGGATAGCCGCATCAAGAGCCGAGAGGTGCTGGATTTCCTGAAAACTGGTGTGAAGAGTCAGCAAAACCTCGAAACGATCGCGTCTGTCGCATCAAAGCTTACTAGAGGCTAGTCATGAGGTCCATAGAGTTCAATGCCGCGAATGACAAAGCGATGGTGACACAGACGGCCGCGAACGCACCATTTGACCAGAGTCCGTTGGGAATCAGCGCTGGCTTATTTCTTTTGACTTGGAAGCCCATCCAACCGATGAAGAGGGGTACGGTCACGAGGCAAAGACACAGAACCAAGATGCTGCCCACTTCCTTGATGCGATGAGCATCGGTCCCGATTATACTAGGTCTGGTCAGTGGAGTCTCCTTCACGAGCGGGAGAGTGCTAACTCACGATAGGAAGTAAGACAGCAGAGCCATAAAGGCAGATGCAAGCAGGGTCCCTACCCAGTCGACCCTGAGCCTCAAGCTACGCACGGTAGCTCGGAGGCAACCGGGTAGTGTTGATTCAGGCAGTGCCCACATCCCCACAACAAATAATAGCAGGGCCATACCTCCGCACAGATACCATCCCAAGCGCCATCCAATGCGATCAACCAATACACCACCTATGATCAGCCCGAGAGTAAACCCTAGAAGCTGGCTGAGGCCTAGACAAGCGAACGATAGGTTGCGGCACCGGCCACGCGGTTGAGTGCTGCTCACGAGAGCCACCGAGCTGGCCAAATGTAGGGCTATTGTAACACCCTGCAGGGCCCGAAGAACAACAAACTCTTTCCCGTTCTTGACAAACCCGATGGAGACCATGAAGACTCCATTGGTTAAACATCCAGTAAGGTTCACCATTCGTGGCCCAAGGACATCGGCGACGCCGCCTGCAAATAGCAGGGTTGAGGCGGTAGCTAGTCCTTGGATTGAAGACGGCCAGAAGGCAAGCGACTCTGGTAGACTAAGATCTACCGTCAGCTGCGGGAGGCTAATGATTACAAGTCCATTAGAGATGCTCCACGCTAAATTGACACCACAAAGCTGGAATATGGCCATTATTGTCTGCAGGCGAGACAAAGGCGACAGAACTTCGAGGGTTTGCTCTTGCGCGCATTTATCCTCCAAAACAGCTACATTGACGTGGATCTGGCTCTTAGGAGTCGGCTGTTGCATCGGAACAGGTGCTTGCCTCAGAGGATGCATGGCGGTCCCCTTATCATCCAGTTGTTGAAGGGTCGATGTACAGGTGAACCAGTGTAAGATCATACAATCCGGGAATATGCTACTGGAACACTGTAGTCGTCCTATCTTCCATTAGTTATAAGCTTCTGGAAAATCGGATAGGCAGCATTGTTACCCTAGCAATAAGACGTAATCCTTGCGGCTAACGTTGGCGTTCTTCGAGGAAGACATACATGTATGTAGGCGATCATCTTGTACGAAATGACTGAAACAAGCCGTCCATGGAACTTTAGGTTTGCCAATAAGTTATAATCTACACTGGAGGTTTCACATTTACTTCTACTTGGCCTCAGTACCACAATACCTGATGTCTTTATCGGATAGGTGCTGAGAAGGCTGCGTCGAAAACTGGGTCAAAAGTTCACCAATTATCCTTTGCACCCCATCGACATGGCCAAGCGATAAGCCACAAATGAGACACTCGGTCTTAAAATCTCTTTCCACGAGTGCTCTGCCATTACAAGCTTGACCTCAACATACTTCCCGTGCGCGAGAAACAAGTGCCGCTTGTGATTGTACCGTCAACAGACGACAGCAGCTTAGTCACGTAAATCTAGAATTGCATCTGTAGCACATACAGATTCACTGGTAAACTTTTGCGAACCATCCGTTCGAGTTACGGTTAAGCGCAGGAGAAGCTATTGATTTTGATGGGGGTTCCCTCGGTCGTTCTTAGTCCGAAACCTTCAGTATAGCTGGAGATAAAGGACCTTCTCAGCAAACACAGTCCGGAATAGTCCTCACAGACCACCGAATCCAGATTTCTCTCGATTGTATACTTACTGTCCAAACTGGATGGGTCGAATCGCTTTCAGACGCCATGCAAGCTCCTCCGCTGTATAATGATATGCATTTCCTAAAGGAACAATTCATGAACATGTATCCTGTCATTCTGACTCTACCTTCCCCATGGATAATACCGCCGAAACCATGACAAACACGCCGTCCATCCCCCGGATGATGCGTGCCCTGCAGTATGTTCGCAACCATGGATAATGCTCGTCGCATGTCAGTTGAACCTAACGCTACCAGGTATGATCCTTCCGATCGGAGAGCCTACATCAATGAGGTCAACGTTCCGGAACCGGGTGACACGGAAATCCTGGTCAAGATCAGATGTGCTTCGCTGTGCCACTCGGACTGCCTCGTCTTCCATCCTGACTTCTCTATAAGCAGAGGCCTTAAGTCTCCGACTACCCTCGGACACGAAGCCACCGGAATTGTGGTCCAGAGCGGCAGCCAGGTGACCGATGTTGAGAAGGGAGACTTTGTGGGCTTTCTTGCCTCGAGTGGGTGCTTTGATTGCGAAGCGTGCAAGACATGGTATGTGGTCGATCGTCTGGCCAGCCACCTAGTGGTTTTGCCAATTCCGAGCTGACTTCGTACTCTTTTGCTCTGCCTTAGGTCCAGCGTTGGGTGTCCCAGTGGTGTCAAAGCTCAAGGATTCAACTGCGATGGCTATTTTCAAGAGTTTGTCACTGTAGATGCTCGGAGCGCTGTTAAACTTCCTCCCGAGATTGACGTCCTAGCGTCCAGTCCTCTATGTTGCGCCGGGGTCACAGCCTACAACGCTATCATGCGGTGCGGCCTGGCTGCTGGAGACTCCGTAGCTATCATCGGCGTCGGGGGTGTCGGTCAAATGGCTGTACAATACGCAAAGGCAATGGGACTCCAGGTAATTGCTGTAGATACCAACGGACACCAGCTCGACACCGCCAAGATCTTCAAGGCGGACTACACTCTCAATCCTGAAACTTGCCCGAGCTACGCGAACGACATCAAGAAGCTGACAAAAGGAGGCGTAGATGCTGCTATCAATTTCACGTCGTCAAAAGAGATCTATGACAATATGCCATCTATGCTGAAATGGCGCGGCATCCTCATGCTGGTGGGCGTTGTTGAGGAGCCTTTAAGCTTCGATTGCATGGAACTGATCTTCCAACAGTACATCATCAAGTCGTCATGTAACGGAACGGCAAGAGATCTTGACGAGTGTCTGCGCTTCAGTGCCAAACATGGGATCCAGCCTAACGTGGAGTTCAAGACCCTAGAAGAGATCCCTGCCGCAATCGAGATGATGGAAAGTGGAAGTCTTCGGAACCGGGTCTGTGTCCAGTTCTAGGTATGGATGTGCGTTGTCGGATCGCCGTTACATGTGAGCGTGGCGAGGGTGTACAGTCGTCTTTGAGGGCCACGATAGTGTGCATTGTCCTTCGACAGAAGGATATTCCATGGGGAGACTATAATCGAACAACTATCTTCATCTGCGTCAAACCTTAAATTCGCATTGATATATCTCCGCATCTCGAGCCTTCACCTACAAACATGTGATACGCGTGCTGCAGGGTAGTTCTGTCTTTATTTTTTGACAAACCAGTGAGAGCTACACCGAAGTGAAGCTTTGCTATGATGAAGATCTTCTTCCAATCACTGACGCTGTCCAGCGAAATGGAACGATAATAGCCGCCACCATTGTGACGATTCTAAAAAGCGATGTAGGACGTATCCACAAGTCATCCTTTCGCATACTTGGTTGATGTTAATAAGAAAAACCGTTCTCTATGCATCACTGGAGACATAGCAAGCTACTTGCGTACGTCTTCACGTGATAAACCCATACGCAGCGACCTGATTATTCATCTGCGACCAATAGATTAATGTCTAGTGGACGTGTGAGTCAGCCGAAAGAATAGCGCGCGGCTGACCTGGCTTAACATAATTGCCATTGTGACCTCAGCCGGGCTTGCAATTCCGTGGTTGTCCATCCACAGCATACAGCACGTTTATCATAGAAAGATTTCATAAATATATAAAGTTGGCAGGAGCCTGTCTACCCTTCTTTCGTGTAACCCTGTCAGTGATTCTTGCGGTCTCTAGGTTCTGTAATATAGACAATAACTCTAAATCATCGGTAGCCTTGACTCTTGCCAACTCCAGCCCGTATGCTATAGTTCAGGCAGCCGGCCTGGACTAGCCCTCCCACGCCTCCGTTATTGCAAGCTTTCCAGCTGTGGTGAAAGATGTCTTTGCACCTAGGCCCTTTGTCTCCAAGGGGCTTCCACCTGTCTTGAGGCTCACCCACGCAGTGGCTCGCCCAACATATGGAGTACTCATAAAGGACATCCCACTGGTCACTCTGTACGCCTACCACGCATTCATCATCACCACTCATGAGCCCTGCAACATCTGGCGAGGCACACCATTCAAAAGCAGTTCGTCTCACGCGTTCTTCATGGATGTTGGCGTGGCCTTGAAAGTCTTTCTCGTCTTCACAAGTTGGTGACGGTAGTGCTGTTTGCCCGGGTGAAGGGCTTGTGAGACTGACTTTTTTTACTATATCAACTGTCGACGTTATGTAAACCTTGTCCTTTGTGCCTTCCGCATCTGTTGTCGATGTTCCTTTGCTCTGCTCGGTTGCGAATACTGTTGTGGAAGCTTCTGTGCTTCTGGTCATTGTTTCAGTAGTAAGATCCGTGGATGTCACTGTACCAAAAAATGTCTCATCCTTCTCCAATTGTGACTTTACGTCCTCGAATACAGATCCAAGTCCGGAATTTTTCGTTCGAGTCGGACTATCTGTGGGACTCTGCGAACGAACATCCATAGAAGTACTTGTCCCTTGATCCAAAGTCGTCGCGCTGTCTTCTGTCTTTCCGTCCAACGTCGTCGCCTCTGAGACGCTCCTTGTAGAAGTAACAAATGTTTCGATTGTGGCATGAATTTTCTTATCACAGGACGTTGGTCTGTCATAGGAACTGTAAATGTCGGAGGGTGATGGAAAGCTTGGGGTTATGCTTGTCGGTGAGTTGTTTGAAGGTCCGATGCTGCCTCCTTCTTGACCCTCGTTTCTTGTAGTAGTCGGTTGTACGATGGCGCCAGTGCCAGGAATAGAATATTTACATGTACTGACTCGTGGCTTTCCGAAATGTTTATCGCTGGCTGTTGGTACGGATCCTCTGACTGTGGGTGTATGGGGGATGGCTATACTTGGATAAGAGGGGATCCGAAGCAAATGTGTGCAGTCAATATCCCACGAGCCGAAAAGGGGTTGCTCCTTGTACGGTACATTGTAAGTGCGCCCTTCCTCCGCCACCGAAAGGTCACTGTAGGGGTTCAGAGCCTTCAGCTCGTCCATGGTGATGTCAAGTGCCCTCAGCACAACGTCGACAGGCTGCCCGGTTTCAGGTATCCACTTGACAACGTTGCTAGATGCTGAGGCTTGATAGACGCGACACGCTGCAACGAGGAACCCGATGGCCGAATACGTCTTCATGTTAGCGTGGTGGCCACGTATGACGCACAAAGCATGTGGACTCTCATATCAGCGATTGAAAGTTGTTCACGAGTCTTGCAAGTGTTAAATGGCAACGTAGATCAATTTCTTTAGTCAGATATTCGCCGAGTCGAGGGCTAGAAGCCGCAAGCCGACTGTCCAGAACCATCCATTATAGCTTTCAATGTTGTGTCTTCTACTAGCCTTGGTCTCGAACGGCCTTGTGTCTTACCCGACATCTCACAACATCACCGGGGCGCGCAGTTCATTTCATCGCCTCTTTTCCCGTCCACATGGCGATGAGTGTTGCATAAATGATTGTTATATACCTGCGGTGTCCACCTGAAGCCATGATTCGACGGTAGGTCGCATACATAATATCGAAGACTTGCTATACCGCATGTATCACTGCGTTAGCAGTTTGGATTGTCCCATTTGCGGCCTTTAAGGCAGCTTTCGAACTTAGCCTAAGTTGCTCATACGCATCCGAGACGGGCGCATCCATTCCTGCATCTTTAATCTCTGTCAACAATGTAAGCAATACTAGCTATATCTGTATCCCAGGTTTACAACTACTAGAATATAAACCACCACGATTTCGCCGTTTTCGAAGTGCGACTTGTCTGCTCGGGGTTGTAGAGAGACAGACAGTCATTCGATCACATGGCTCAAAACTCCCAATCGAAGGTGGCCTCCATCCGGCCTATGCATTGCAGCAAGTGTGACATCCTTGCAAGGTGGCAATGGAAGTTACAGGGACCCGAGCCGTGCCAGGAAATAAAAGCTTTGGAACCCTATTCACTCGATAGCAGTGGATCGATCCGATGCGAAGACTGCGCCTTAGGCTTCAAACTTCCCTATGATAAGACTATGTTTGAAAGCGGTCGGATCAGACTGGAAGTGCCCCAGCAGCTGCCCATCATAACAGACTTCTCAAATAACGACGGTGGCAGCAGTGATGATTCGAGCTCGCGCCTATCGGCCCCGTATTAGGTCTAATGCTTTATGGTAGGACGAGTAGATATTCGAGGCAGACAACATATACTCTGCATTGGAGTATCCTTTCGTAGACATTGGGCAGAATTGCCAGCCTTGAGACCGAGTGTACTACTTCGCCTCAGTTGATCAGACGTGGCTGGAGATAAAGTTCCAAGTTAATTTTGTTTCACTTTAAAAGATCAGTTGTTTTTGACGAGTCGAGATGATGAAAAATGGACAGGAGATCAGGCCCAAAGGCGCTCGGGAGCCTCCAATTGGTGTACTGTGATCAACTGTTCTTGCAATTGCGTTCGGAATAACCATAGTTAAGCCTTTCCTGAACAACATCACACTTTTGAAACATCATGACTACGATCCTTACACAAGACCATATTCTCTCTACCCTGGCTTAAGACTCGCATTGCATTTGATTACTCATAAATTTCCTTTTAAATCTCTTTCAGCCTTGTATATATGCACTGCCCAGCTGATGGCTTACCGAGAGGCCATCGGCTGTATGTGTTAAGAATCAAGAACAGAAGTCGCAAACCACTAAGCCATCGATGATGTGTCCCTTCATGATTATTTACAGATTGGTTGTGAATCGAGCCTTGAGGTGCCACTCGCATCCTTTTCTGCACACCAGGTGTCCCCATTCTCGACATTAGCTCTAACATGGTAAAGGGAAGCGATGTACAAGAGCCCAACAGAAGGCCTAAAGAGGCTGTTATGTACATCGTTGTAGCATGCTGCAGGGAATGGGATACTTGAATTCATTCTACATAATCCAAAGACTGACCCTCGATCTAAGTTAACTCCTTGTATTCAACACAGCAGCATTTTCATGGGGAAATCTATCCAAGCCATATTCAGTGAAAGGTAGACAAAGATGTTATCGCACTGCCTCGTGTCCATCGGCTCACGACTGCGGCTCTCTTTCAACCAGCCTGAGGATTCCCCTTGTCAGTGCAGGCCCATCAGGGAACGGGCAAAGATGGCATATCGACGAACAAGGTTCAAACTACGTGGCAACAAACAAACTCGCCATGAGAACCCCAAAAGCCATACAGACAGGCGTTTCCCATGGAAAGAGCAAGCCGATAGGATTCACATGACGCCAGGAAGCGAGATACAATATATTGGATCCTCTTACAACACAGGGACCAACAGACGTGGGACACCGCAATATACCAGTAGGGCGTCTCAGACAAACACTATCCCAACCCATCCGCCGCCAATGTATGAATCACTGTCGGGCGACACTTCAGCTAGACATGAGTCGCTCCCAGAACAGCCCATATACAGATACCCAAACCTAGACGGTATACGGTTCGAAATTCCCCGCGCGCAGCCATATAGCTCTGTTTGGGAGCAGGATTCTTGGAAGTGAAACTCAGGGTTTGCACCGAGTAGCTTCAGTAAGCCTGACATATTGAACTTGGAACATAGAGTAGGAATAAACATAAGCGTATATGGCAACTTGTTTTAAGTGTACGAAGAAGATAGGAAGACAACTCTATATCAGCAATACATCGGTTGTCGAATTTACTTTTCATCTATTGGTCAGCAGAGACAAAATAGGCCCACGGTGCCTCTTCTCTTTCGGTATTCGCGAATCCAAGATCCGTGACAGACATACGCAGTTTGAGACGTAAGAGGTACAGAACCGGGTCCGTCTGTCAACGACGAGAGCCAATGCATAGTATATTCTGGAATCATACAGCTCTAAGTTTACACTAACAACCCACTCAGACTACATTCCCGTAACATATGACAACTATCTATCCTGTCACGACTTCCCATTCGCTACTGCGCGACCGATGTCGTACACCGCGACCGATGTCGTACACCGCTTGGAAGCGACAGGACAAATATTCCGACAGAACTTAATCCATATCCGCCATGCGTAGACGTATTTGGCGAAAGAGAGTAGGGGCTCTCTGCTAGAAACTAGCCGTGGTAAATATGACAAAAGTCAACGTAGAAACGCGTTAGTGATACTCCTGTAGAGGCATGGGAACCGCAGTTATATGGTTGACGACTGGTTCAATTTAACCGTAGAACCAATAGAGAGCCGCGTAAGAGGTGCTGTCGCTACCCTTTGCTCCGCAGCCGTGAGAAACACCACCTGCAGTGAGAACACGGTAGACAATTGAAACACCGATGCTCCCTCCAGCGTCTTCAAGGTAGAGCCAATCAACAGCACCGGTCCCGTCAGGGCCAGCTGAGGAAGAAGCAGGGGCTTCAATGCCATAAACCTTCCTAGCAATGAGAAGTCGGCTATATGTGTCGAGATCGAAGGTAGGAACACCAGCAGCGTTAAAGAAATGTTGACCAAGATAGGGGAGCCTCTTGCGGAAGCCCTCAACCTTGAGAGATCCCTTTTTTGGGAAGGGGTGGGTAAGGCAGATGTTGCCGCTGCTATCGCGATTTAGAGGCGCCTTTCCAGTATCAAGGATATGAGGAGGGAGAGAAGTCCATTCCTCATGGGTCAGGGGCGAGCCCTCTTGATCCGGATACAGCCATGTAACATCGTAGAGAACTGCCAAAGCGCCGGCAGCTGAAGGAATAGCATTCACGTCGGCGCAACTGTAATTCTGAACGCCGAAGCCAAGAGCAATATGCTTCAGTATTACGCCTTGGGGAGGAGAAGGAAGCTCAGAAGCTGTTTTTCGTGTTGTGTCAGTAACATTATGACGATATCCATAACTCAAGATCAAACCATTACTTACAGCCACCATTAGCAGGAAGAACTGGTATAGCGTCCCCTACTTGGAACTCTGAACGTCGACCATAGTCCTGAACTTTCGACGTCGAAGCCAGCACATAGGAGGCTAGGGCGAGAAGATGGGCGACGAGCATACTGCTGTTGAGGCTATATGATATGCAATGAGACGGTTGATTGTAGAGGGTTTATGAGCCTTGTGAGCCAAGAAGGTGAACTCAAGGGCCGAAGAAGATGATGTCGGTCAAATTACAGATTAAAATGCTTAGAGGAAGGATGAGGGGTATGCAACAGAGACCGGAATCAGAGACCGACCACAAGTATATTCGTTCATCATCATCGGGCCTTCCGACCTGCAACAAGTGACTCGGTCTATTTTCGGCTTTTCCGTCCCCGCTAACGTTTAAGTGTTAGTGGCACTAGGGCAGAGGAAAGGAAATATGTGTCTTTACTTTTAGGCTACTAGAAACGGACTATAACGAATAACCAGCCCTGTCAACTGTATGTCTTCACGACAGAAAGAAGAGTAGCCAAACGTCCCCTTTGGGGCTACACTAGCGAATAATGCCGAAGGACAATATATACAAGATGGTCAGCCGTTATTCCCACGCTGACTTGCAGAGTCGTGTAAGAAGCTCTACCTGGTATCCTCAATCTATTCTATCCAAGACGACGTCCTTCTTCATCAGCAGTTCCGTTATTGACATCTCAATCTCTACAGATTGAGAACTTCATACCAGTATGGCGAGCATGAGGTGGACCGGTTCGCTGCGGTCTTCTATCGCGGCTTTTTGCCAAGAGCTCCAGGACGTAAAAGACCCAGATACCGTTTTCCGAGAGGAGATGGCGGCCATTGAAGAACGATCACGAAGAACACTGGGACAGCTCACCCGGAATAACCTTCCTAGCATCCTGCAAGAATTGCTTGCAAACGGCCGGTACATGAGAGAACGCGAGATCACGTATACAGCATCCAGAGCCCAGGCACTCAACGCATATGATACAGCGATCGAAGACCTGGTTGGAAGGATGCTAAAGGAACAGTTTAGTATCCTGGGCCTGGACACAATCCAGCGGCTAGTCCCAGACATATCTATTTCTCTCAGTGGGGATGAAGACGACGCTCTTCTCTCTTGCCCAGACGATGAGCAAGCATCGGTATGCGAGTGTCAGACGGGAACCGCAGTAGCTGGACCTGCGAATGTGCACGCATTCGACCACGGAGGAGATTGGGACGACCAGTCAAAGAAGCCCAACCATAGGGTCCAACCAACGTTGAACAAAGCCATGACATGGTGTACTCTGGTAGGATGACCAAAATGTATTCTCAGAAGTTGAAATCATGTGCATGCTGACAAAACTGTAGCCCGGGGCGGATGAAACTGACCTCCAGGGCGACAGAGGTCGGGATCGAATGCGTCGCGCGACGCCGAGAGGAACATCCTTAAGAGACAAAACAGCTAGGAACTACCGTGAGAGTTCGCCTTCGCCATGTCAAGGTTTGGATCAGAAGGAAGTTAACAAGTACAAGGTGACCCTGAAGAAAGGTCATACGTTGTGCAAGAAAGTGATGAAGATGGGGTTTGATGGACTTACCACATGCGTACTGCTGTTCAAGGATCCGGTACGTGACGAGTGGGTATCTGCGGGACACATTGCGGAGGGCCACGCCATCCCAAGTCTCGACTCTATTGTAAGTCTTGCTATTGTTTGAACTGGATTTGCACTTGGCTTACCGAAACAAACAGCTGGCAGAACAAATCGGACGGCGGCGAGAGGCCATGACAGTCTCACCATCGATCAAGGACGAGGGTGGTAACTCATTTGCGATGTCAGAAGGAGTGTCTAACTATGAGAACATGGTCGTATATAATGGCATCGGGTGCGCCAGTTGAGGATGGACGGAGTCTGTAAAAAACGTAGAAAGCTATCCACGCCCGTATATCCGAACAAGTGCTATGCGGAAACCTGGCATCCGTGGTGCCCCTGCCTGCTATCTCTTATAGCAATCTATTTTAAAGACAAGAAAAGATGCGCACTCATTTAGCATATCTGACCTTCCTTAGCCATGTAGTATCGTGTCGTGCTTGTTTGGCACAAATGATTTATGATTCTTCGGTTGACCAATCTTTATGAACAAAGACAATGGCTCACATCCACATCTTAACGCTGTTACTATTCCAGTTATCAGCGGCGGAAACCTGAACAAGTTCAGTATATCCAGAACGAATAGACCGAACGGTTGCAGCTACTTTGTAATTGAACGAGTCTGAGGCTCGATGTCGACCATAGCTGAGCTGAATCATTGAAGTTTCACGGAAAGCGTGAGTTGAGGAAAAGGAACATTGCATTTTGTTTACAGCAAAGGCTGTCGCGGCTCAGTTGTCTAGTCCCGCACGAGGCCGAGAACGGTTCACTTGCGCCGACATACAGAGACTCTTTCCACCTGAGCCTTTTGGGTGACAATAATCGTCATTCCCTTCTCGGTTTGTATTTACCACCTTTTGTAAAAGGGGTCGTTTTAGCTTCGATTGGATTACCATAGGGATAGATCCTGGACAGGAAGCACTGTATCAGAATATTCACAGTCCCCGGGCCATTTAATCATGGGACGGATGGCTGTCCCATAGCTCGGGATAAGAATGTGTGTCGCTACTGGTTCTACTTCCTTTTGTAACTACAGTTCTTCCACAGTCCAGTCGTACCCATGATATGCATATTCCACTACAGCAGTATGATCTTGAGCTGGATCCGTGCTGAGAAGGGATCTCCAGACCGTGTCGGTCACCTCTTCTTCGCTACTCGCTTCATAATCGTCAAGCTTTACTAGATATGCGGGTATAGACTTCTTGAATATGCTTTCGCACAATTCGCGGGCGTCCCTCAGCCATTGCCGCAGAGGGCTCGAATTGTTCTCTATCTCTTTTTCAAAAGCATCCACCAATTTCTCTTGGTACCGAAGCGGCATGATCTCTTTATTCATGCTTCCCGGTAAAGCGCAAAGGGTAACGAACTCACCTAGGTCATCGTGTTTCCTACCGATATCTCGCAGATCTTTCCACATCTTCCACTGCTTAGAGTCTTTCATCATTTTGTCCCATTGGCCGTCAGGAAATCTACTGATCTCAAAATTCTGACTGTTTCGTTCTTCCATTTTCTCGTTAAAGAGAACTCTTTGGTATCTTTGCTGAAGCTTTCCATTTGTTTTACGACTCTGTCCGAGTAGCCAGAGCGTATATTCATCGTCAAAGCCGGACGCCGTTGCCGTTCGCAGGAACCGTAATCCAGTTGTAAGATTTTCCAGAATTGTTCTACGGCTTATCATAGATCTTAAATCTGGTTCCGACGTCACTCTAATCCTGTTGGTAGCTTTCGTCCTCGCAATGGCTGTGGACGCTGTTGTAAGCCTTCTACGTGATGTATTTCTCCTATTTACTGACAGCGAACCACTCATGCCGCCGAAGGCGGTTGGTTGCAAAAGGGGACCTGAAGGTAGGATAGGGCGAAAAGAAAAGGCCGAGGCACTCTGAAGCCCTCCATTGGCCGCCTGAACATCGTTAACATTGTTTTGTAAACCAATTTGATAAGTCATGTGGTACGTCGAACTTACCTCGTGACCTACACATTCGCACACAACTTCGCCTTCAACAGCTGAGGTTGGCCGTGTCAAAGATGTAGAACGAACCCGTCCAGCAGTGTCTTCCCACATGGTCATATCGATTGCGTCGTCGAAGGAATTCTCTTCTTGTGGCAAAAACGGACTAAGACAGTCTGTTTGGGACACGAATATGGATTCCCCCTCTACTCTCACCCCCTTTATGATACCTTTTTCAGCAAGGTATTCCGGAGTGGGTTCAAGTTGCCCAGCGAGGAGTTCGACGAGCATACGCTTTCGAAACGCATGGCCGTGCTCATCGGCTGTTTTCTGGCTCACATGAGGCTTTTGCTGCATGATGCGACTAACTCCCATGAGCATAAAAATACTCGAGTTTTCTGACTCGCTCGCCTGCGGCCCTCTCCAGTTTTCCATCACCTTTCTTCCTCCGCTAATCGCAAAGCATGGCCTTCGTCCATCGGGCCTACTATCATACCAGTGGATGCAGTCGTGATACGCGACAGCGAATGCCCATTCTTGGCCGTCAGACATTGGAATGACGGTAGGCATGTCGAAACCCTCGGATTCGATGTGAATCTCCCCATGTGGGTCAAGTGCCCGGATGGAGGAGATCTTGGTAGAGGAGCTTGCAGTTTTCAACAGATGCAAATAATCCCGTACTACTTTCTCATCAAGAGATTCACCACGCACGAGATTTCGTAACGCTGGGGTAACTTTATCTCCTCCAAAGGTGGCAGACCGGGAGACCCTATCCGCATATTCAAACCAAGGAGCGTCGACTGGTGGCATCAATACATCACGAGGCTCCATGTCCATGCTTCGGTCGACTTCTTGCTGAGATGGGAATTGCATGGGGTTGGATAGTATAAGGGTGTGCGGATATCTCTCGTACCGCTTCTGAATGACTTGTACTGCTGCCTGCAGAAGAACCAGCATGTAAGGTGAGTATGGCTGGCATGCAATGTTCTTGAACTTGTCCCATTCATCCATGTCCTTCAGCTGTTGACACTACGTTTTTACTTACTTTCCAAACGTGAACTGGGATCTGCTAGGCGGCAACAGATCCCTTTTCATGTTGAAAATGGAATCCTTTATTGCCCATGACCGTTTATACTCAGAAGGTTAGTAGTAGTAGGCTTGTGCGCAAAAAGGTTCACAAAAAGTCGTTATATCTGATTAATGTACTTGTTCTTGGACCGTCCCACACATCTCTCGAAGCAAGATCCAATTTGCCGAATTCGGCGCCGGCTGCGAACCTTCCAAATAAGTTCGAAAAAGGCCATATATCGCACAGAGGGATGTTCACGCCACCATCATGTTTTCTTGTTTCAGCAAAGGGCTTAAATTCCCGTGCCATTTGAAAATGAACGCTGTAAAGAACTAAAGAAAAGAAACCATACGCGCTTGAGCTTTCGATTCTGCATTCATTTACCACTTGTAAATTCTTCTGATCTATGTCTCCTGACAACCGAATCCCTCTGACGGTAATTGAGACCCCCACAAGTCATACCAAGCCCGAAGGCTACCTAGATACATGAGCAGCTTACGAATTCGCAAATTGAACTTCACAGGAAAGCGAATTGATTATTGGCCGCGGCTCGGAAAGAAATGGGTGGCACAGAACGGAGTCGGAACGGAAAATGCTCTGTCAAAGGATACCGATCAGGTTCCTCACGGCTAACGGGGTCCTGCACCGCTCAGAGGTTGAGGTTGGCATCCAACAAAGACGTGGCCGAGATGTGGGCAGAGTCCGCGGCTGTTCGTAGCACCTTGTTTGAAAACTCATCAAATGTAAACGCCGTCGACATTGAAACAGAACTCAGGGCTTACAATGATCGACTACGGAAGTCAAGGATCAGCGGCTATAGTCTGGGAAGTACATCACTGTCTGTCGGTGGATGGAGATCAGCCTCGGTCGTGTTATAGAGCTTATGCCGTAGTTGTTGTTACTTTGTTCTTAATGGCGCAAAGCTACATTGTCGTACCGGTCACACACAGCCGATAAGTCTTCACGCTGGTGCAGTACAGATCTCGACCAGAAGTCGTCAAGAGACGACTGACATGACTTCATCAGTCGTAAAATAGCGTCTTATGGCTTCCAAGGCTAGTGGGATGTCTATCACCATTTGAGGCCGCCGTCCAAAAAGACAGACCACATTCCCTCTTATTTAGTAATCGCGCCGGCAACGCTCATTTCGACGGCACTACATTTGATGGTGGAAATGCTCCCGATGCGCCCAATTATGACCGATCCTTTCTCGGTGCGGCAGATATTGTGCAACCTTTCTCAGGCATCGGTCAAGAGTCCAGCGCTGGGTAGTTGCATACCTATCATTTAGGATAACAAACCATCTGTCCAGACAGGCATCGAAATTGTGAACGCCGATAGAGATGCGGAGCCACGGTAGAGCCGCATTAAGAACGGCCACCATGTCAGTCTCTTTGGTGTCCTCGAGGCCGTGAGGGTAAAGCGTGACATATCCGAGTCAGACAGGGTCAGCACGGCCTGTTTTCTGGGATACATTTGGCGACGGTGTAGGAGAGGGTACGTTCGAAAAGGCAAGGTTTGATTCTCTCGGCAGTACTGGTCAGAGAATGAACCAGTTCAATTGACCAGATTCTAGAAACTTAAGTATCGTCAACGAGATGGAAATGTAAGAATGACGTACGAGGCTTGGTAAAAGAGGGATGAGGCGAAAGGAGATGCATGCACAGTTTGAAATAAGTAGTTTGGCTCTTCTACACTCAGTTAAGCGGTTCGACGAGAAGACCGGCTCCTAGTCGTTGCGAAATCCCATGCAGAATCGTCAAAATAACATTGGTCACGAAGATGAGCATGGTGAATAGAACCGAGAGAATAGTGCTTTCATTCAAGAGTTATGGGAGGTTTCCGTCTTGTTGACCCACTGCCGTAATGCAGAAGAACTTTCTGATGACATCATCGAAATGTCCCACCTCCCTCCAGACAAAGAGAAAAAGCCGTGCAGAGGTGCTGACTTTCATGGCCCGAAACGCATTGTCGCTCGACGCTTAGTTAAAGACAGCTACCTGCTTCCTGTCGTAAGCTATGCCAAAGTTTACTCAGACATGGACTATCCGCTATGATTCGATTCGCTGGTTGGTTGATGAACCGTCGCTGGAGGACCGGTTTGGTCACGCCTCTTACTGCAAGGGACTTGGTAAGAGCATGACGGAAAAGGATGCAGCGGGAACTCACGCTGGTGGGTTGAAGGAAGATATGGATAACCGTGTTTTTGGACATCGTTTCGTCCTTTTCCGGACGCCACGTGCAGAAGAGTGCCGAATAGGAAGGCCGTCCGAGTACAAAGGCCTGTAGCCCGGCTTTTTCTGTGTCGCGCTGCTACGTCGCTCAGCATCCGCCCATACTGGAACATGAAAGCAATTCATTGGCTCCTCCCGTTCAGCATTGCCGGCGCGACTTGTCCCAATTACGCGATATGGATTTCGCAGGATAGAACTCCACTAAAGGAAACAGTCGGCCGAGCTTTGCCCGACCTTGATTTTGAGAAGCTCGAGGCACTCAACCCTGGGTACATCGCCGACAGCGAGTCACACATGGGCAGAGTATACAAGATCCCCTACGATGAAAGCATGACCGTAGTCCCCCCGGCGTCTTGGTCCGGCAATTGTCCCAAAACTCTAGTGTTAGGTAGCGACCGGAAGGACGCAGAGACTCGCTCCTGGCTGTGGCAAAAATCGATAGACATGCGTGCCCGAAACCACCAAGCAGTACCCAGCGCAATGATCATAGTGGCAGGATCTCAAGAGGGTGGCGATGACGCTAAAGAGACACGAACGTCCGCCGCAACTGCAACTGGCACCGCGGCAGGCCCAGGGGCAACGGAATCAAACAGTCCCATGCATTGCCGGGAGAAAGCGCTTGCCGTAGAAGAGTTTGATCTGAGTTCCGAAAAAAGACTTGACTTTGCTGAGACGTTCTGCACTAGGCTCAAGAATTCCACTCTGACCCCTCAGCAACCTATAAAGGCAGAGCCATACGCTGATACCTTTATCGGGATTACTTTGTTGAATGGCTGCCCCAAGCGCGTTTTTGGAGTGAAGGAAGTTTGGGAGTGTTACGCTATCATGAAGGACATTAACACAAACTGTCCCGAGTTTGGAGGGACGTCCAAGGCTTCTTGTCTCCTTTACTACTTTCTCAAGAGAGATGATCATGTCAGCTCTATCTCTACTCCTTCATCTTCCCCTACCCCTTAGTAGATCTATTCTTATGGGTCTAGAAAGGTTGTCAGGAGTAAATTGTTACACCCTGATGCCGATTCGCCTGATGTACAACACTATGTGTGAATGCGATCCGAGTCATTTCATACGTAGAACCTAGCACACGTCCCTCTTGAATATGCGAATTGGAGTCTGAGTGGCTTATTACAGGCCCCAGTATCCTTTAGCACTCAGTAATAGGGATCTTGGTGACGGGAATTGGAAGAGTAACTAAGCGTTACTTGATATATCTGTTAAACTGAAGCATATCAGACGGACAGATTATCCGACTCTCTTTGACTGACAGGCTCTATGATATTGTGAAATGCAAAGAATAAATTGCTTTAGGTTGAATAAAGTACAATGTGAAAGTCGCTTTTCTTTTGATACTGAAGTTCACTTCCATTAGCAGTGTGAACCAAGCAGACATGGAAATTCCCAACACTTTCCACAACAAAGTTAATAGAGTTACACCAGCCCACGGTCGTTCTATTATAACATACGGAAAGTGGGGTTTGCTATGAACTCGTCTCAAGGACATATATCCCAAGCCGTCATCATACTAATAAGGGCTATTGTTGTAGGCATTCGACCATCTCTCTTTAGAAAACGACGTCAATTTGCTCCCAAGAGACTTGCTTTCGAACTCATCATGAGCTTCTACGGTCTGAACACCCACTCGTAACGTCTCCACCCTCTTCCTAATCTCCTCCATTTTCTGCGATAGTGCTCGGATCCTTCGCCGACACTTTGCACGGTCACTCGTTGTACTACTTTGTGCCTCCAGGCTAGCTTGTGATACATACTCCATGACTTTGTCTCTCACTTCGTCGGCCAAAACCTCTCTCAAATGAGCCAAGACTGTTTGTGCACGATCGGTCGGCGGTTGTTGTCCCGCAGGAAACAATGTTTGAGAAGAGCTGGATCGATGAGACTGTAGCTTACGCACGTACATGTCGCGCATATGCATTATTCCCTCTGCTTTTCCCTCTGCTTTAACCTCCTCAATTCTTGCTGTCTGGAGCGTTTCCAAAACCATTGATAGCCTCTCCTCCTCAAGGTCTAGCTCATTCTTCAGTTGTTCCTTCGTCCCTCGCGCTTTTGCCGCCTTGACAAAGTCCAGAAAACTGCGTGAAGCACCATCATCTTCCTGTTGTGTTGATGGTATTATCACGTCAAGCTCGCTAAAATCATCATCCAACCCACATTGGTCTGCCTTTATTCTGCGCAAAATCGATGCATTATTGCTCGATAGCGATTTGTAAGAGTTGATAGGCACATCAACCATCATGTCCATGAATTCCTCTCTGGCCGCTGTTGGATCTATGAGCTGAGATGCGATTTCGCCTGTAATAATGCGTTTGAGGTACATCAGCGCATAAATGCCAGAGCTACAAGTGTCAAGCGGATACAGAAAGCCCTTCTTTCCTCAGTAAGGTTCAACAGCATGGATGGAGATTTGCTAACCTGTGACTGGTATTCTGCCTCGTAACCAGAATCTCCTGTATCTATGCATCGTACGAAATGCTCTTTTGCCTGTTGGGCCGTTACACCGTAGAAGCTGAAATAAATCCTGTTCTCGTGGATCTCTGATACCCCCAAGTTCCAGTGCCGGTCTTCATTGCAATAGATGAGGAAAAGGCTTCGCTGGTAAGCTGTGAACGTTGCAAGGCTCTGGTGTTGGGGGTTGTTATTTCCAGGCCACGGTGTCTCAAGTAAATGAGACTTGACTCCCTCTGAAGTAAGGTTCCCAAATACTTCGAAGATAAATTCCGCAAGGAACTCCATAACTTCACCGTCTAGTTCCATCCCTTGCTGCAGTTGACGACTAATGTCCTTCGCGATTTGTTCTGTCCGATCGCATAGCTTCTTCGCAGAACGATGGACAGTAGTTGAATCCTCTGTGTTAGACATAACCAGGTTCAAATCAATTAGTTCCTCTGATCGCCGGCGTTTGTGACGTTTGTCTGCGTAATCGAAGGTCAACGATTGTTCTCGGGAGAGGTAAGATACTGGTCGTAGCGACGACACCTGGCAAAGGTTGTCTTGAGTGCCATACGAAACATCTTCATCGAGACTCATTGAATTACCGTGTCTGTAGTTGATAGGTCTGTGGTGATGAACTATGGTATGTGAAGAACAGAGACTTTTCTGCTTTCCCAAGAGGGCGTCGATGGTATTTATGGTAGGATGAGAGTCCACGTCACTGACACTTACCCCTGATACTGTTAACCGTTACAGGTTTCCAGCCCTGGTTGCTGATCGTTCCCCCTCTGCCTTACCTCTTTCCTGCAGCTTGCTTCAACCTCAAAACGCGCTCTCAATACAGCGTTTGCATCCATCATCCTGCAATGGCGATCCTCCAGCATCAGATAATGGTTTTAATGTCCGTGATTGAGAAGTTTTTAATCAATCCATCTCATCGACACAATCCTCGTACATAGAGAGGTTCTTCTCTGAGGAAAGATCGTAAGAATTGTCACATAAATCGCAAGCGTTAAACACCGACCGTGAGGGCTGACGAGTGGAGCCAACTTGTGTACCCTAAAGCCCGGATCGATAATCGAGCTTCCGCATCTCTGCCTAAAATCCGCTGGTTTTGAATTCCAAGATAGACAGACTTGAAGCGACGGCCAGTAACAACGTTGCAGAAGTCTGATCTATTGTTGAACTGCAATATCAACGTCAGCTCTCAGGTCAGAACACCAACAATCGCCAACAAATGCACGAACTTCTGACTGGCCTAGCCGTATTGGACAGGATTGACGTCTTGTTTGACCACTCGTGAACTTGACTTAGATGAAAAGGTCTCGTGTTTTCATTATCTGGTGTTGGCAACCACCTCAGAAAACATCCCAAATCTCTCACCGCGTCCCGCAGTATAACTTTGGCTAGCGGCCCGGTAATCGGCATCGTAAAAGCTTACCCTTGACCGTCCTGGATTTTGCAATGACAAAGAAGCTAAAGAATTGTCACTCACTTACACGACAAGAATATCGCACCTATCAAAAACGGCTCTTTTGAGGTAGGCTAACAAGGCAGCCGGGTTCGGAAAACGACTGATTCAAAGAATCAGACCACGTAGTGCATTCACCCCCCGTGATCACGATCTAGGTACATGCAATCGCACGTGCGAAGGGGCTGTGTTCAAAACTCAGTGGGTAATCGAACCCGCCTGTAAGCCAGCTTTGTAGTGCTAAGTACCGTACCATAACACAATATGCCGAAGAGCCAATTGGAGGTATTGGAGCGGCTACCGATAACGGAGCAAAGGGATATGCTCCGATGGGTCAGCTTCGGCTGTAGCGGGTCAGTCGAAATTGTGGAATAATCGATGGGACCCGCAATGCACAAGTGAGGCAAACCTAACGCAAAGTAGAAGTAGTTGTTCCCATCGTGCTAAGCTGCGCCTCCATAGAATAAGCTTGACGTAGCGTAGCAGACTTTCCTTTTTCGGGTTTAAAAGCCTAGAAACGCATGCATGTGACTGATCAAAAGGTCAGGGTGCTAGATCGAATTTGAGTAACTCTACATAAGTAGCTAATGCCGCATTTGACTTTCTATCTTCCAGTCATCATAGTTTAGTGTTGTATAGGCTTGCTCGTTGTTCACGATTCAATTGCACCTCGTTCATAAGATCTAGCAGATGAATGTTTCAGAGTGGATTGCGACCCTGTCAAATCGACCAATCATGCTAGTATAGTAGTTTACGAATAAAAAGTCATAAATGTCACGGCGGGTTTTGTTTCATTCTCTAGAGACTTTGAGCTAGCGCGATTTTTCCTAGCACGGAGGGTACAATTTCACAAGTAGTAGTACCTCATGTTATTGAAGGTAAGAATTTGATTTTTTGTTACATAGCTATAACGTCGTCCAAGTGACATGGGTGATGATGACCCTATACATATCGGCGAACTCTGATAGGGACTACCCTGTCAAACGTGTGAGAGCCGAACGGGAATGCTTTATGTCTAGACTTGGTCTTTTTCGCCATTGCTGGATCCACAAGATCGATTTGCAATTTCTGCAACACCATAGCGGTCGAGACAAACATGATTTGTTTTGCCATGGACTCGCCTGGGCAACGAAATTGCCCTCCCCCAAAAGGAAAGTGGTGACCGCGAAGACCCGCGAGGGCGAGTTTTGGTCGTGTATCGTCTGTGTCTCTACGCCTCGTGAGCCTCTTAGCGGAGGCGCGTTTAGGTCGCAGCTCTTTTTTTACAGGACCACTGGTAGGGTCGCTTGGGTATGTCAAAAATCTTTCAGCCCAGAAAACGTCCAGAGGACGCTGCATCTCGCCATCGGGAAGCCGCCGACCCGTGTTCCAAAAATCATCATCCAAACCAGCGAGCCATCCCATAAACATGATGGGAACACCCATCCGGACCTTCCAACCCCCGGCCAGACAGATTCTGTCGTTGGTCGCTGTACGTCCCACGGCGCTTGCGACTCGTAGCCTAAGTGTCTCATGGTATATGGAGTTGATTAAGGGGTCTGCCAGAAGTGATTTGATGTTGAGCTGGCCCTGGGAAGTGGGCGGATGGCAGTCGGCAAGGAGTTCAGAGCGGACTCGATGGAGAAGATCCTCGTCAAGGACGATGTGTAGGATCATCCACAAAGCGGCCGGGATTGTGTTCGCAACGGTGCTAAATCAGATCAGCGATCATCATAGGAGCAAACACTTTTCTCGTCTCAATCGCCTACAAGCGCGTGTTCTGGACGGATGGGAGAAGAACAAGGACGGAAAGCGAGGTGACCTTTGATGTTTATTCTGCAATTCTGTTGGGCACTTACACGAATAGATAACCTAACATCACCGCAGCCACACCATTCCTACTCAGCCCCAAATCTTGGTGGCGTTGGACCATCTTACGGACGTACTGTGTGCCCCACACAGGCTCGTACTCCGAATCGTGCAGGGCTTCATTGTTCCAGTCAAAATTGTCGTCACACCATGTTCGCCAGGTGTCAAAGTTCTGATGCATCCTGTCACGTGCTTTGTAGCTAGACGGTGTAAGCCATCGGGGGAGGCCCCTAGATACGTACGGGAACATGTTGTAAAAGGTCCAAAAGTCCTGGCAGAAAGTAGGGCAAAGCTTCAAAATTTCCTGCCCATACAATGCTTCGAGATGAGCCTTGAATATGAGGTCTGACATGAAGTTGAAGAGGTCGGGGAAGTAAGTCCAGTCATTGCCGATTTGGGGATCTTGGGATAGTTGTGATTCGAAGTTATCGACGAACCTCTTCATGACCGACTCTAAGTTGTTCTTTTGCAGATAGAAAGCGAAGTCTTGCTTCTGATGCTCCATGATGCGGCGAGACGGATCCGGGTGGCTCGTAGTAAGGTCCACCTGCTCTTCGTATTTCGAGATCCGATCATGATTGAACATATCAAGGTCTTTCCCCGATAGACCAAAGAATACGGACATGGCGTAGAACAGACTAGGTGCCGGTACCAATCCATGAGAGTTCCTGAACAAGCCCTCGATTTGCTTTCCTGGCATGGCCAGATAGATCTCTCGCCCAATCAACCTGATATGCCCTGGGGCTCCGTGGAGTTTGTCACTGGAAGGCGCATTAGAGACAGTAGTCTGACTGAAAAGGAAATGTGAACAGACGGGTGGAAGGGCAATGAGAAGATGGAGGGACATGAATGACAAGGAAGTTATGAGGTCAGTTGACATGATGCGCTTGTAACGTACACGAGCTTCCTGAGGAAGGACTCGGGCCAGAAGGCGAAGGTTAACGTTTGTCCCAGTACATAGATGAAAGGAGTCGTCGACGGAGGATCCTTGAAAGAGCCACCTATATGATGCGATGGATCGCTCAGTGACGTCGGTAGAACGGCGCAAAGCGTAAGGAGCAGGACGCCAAACGCCGCTACGAGTATCGGGTGTTGGAGACAATATTCTGCCAATGACAGGATGTATTCGTACATGACCATGATGTGGTGATTAGGTTGATAGACTGATTGTGTTTTGGACCCCTGAAGGAAGTGGTTCAAGCTGCTGATACGGAGAGTGGTAGATATTCCATTCACAGCAGTGACTGTAATAGAAGTAATCCAAGATCGAAAGCGGGAAAGACCGTGGAGTCCAATGAGAAGTAGAGTTGAGGCTCTGTGGACATTTCTGGTTTGGGCAGTGAATATATTCCTACGTGTCTGCTTTAGTAAATAAAAAGATAATCGGTAGTGGTGGCGGAACTGCCACTGGGTAGAGTCGAAACCGATTGCCCTAAAGGCTTTATTCTCTGTTGCACTAACCGTCGAAAACATACCTACATCAACGTAGAACCGGGCCCTCATATTGATCTTGGAAAATGGCAAAGGTTTTTGGGCGATTATTGGATCGTAAGAATTCGACGAATGATACCTCAACGAGCTAGAAAGTGCATAACGTGACGACCTCACCTTGTCGTCCATTAAAGTGTGTTCCATCTTAGCTTTCCAGAACGAGAGACAGATTGTCACGGCCAAAATCTACCATGGTCAGTGGAGAACTGGTTTGGAATGCCTATCATTTGTCTTGCCATCTATGGCCAACCAAAAGCGTGGAGCGAGAACATCATAAGTAATACACGGGCATCTTGCCTCTGAGTAGAACATCGCCCTTGAGTTTCATAAACATCGCCGTCGAAGACAGTTCTTTACAAACGCTAGTAGCGTACACCCAATTATCTATACCGGGAGTAGATGGTTTTCGATCCATACCGCAATCGACGTGTCTGCGATACGCCATGGCCCAATCACCTCTACCGCACCTCCTCGCACTCAGTACAGCCTACGCATGCATATTGTCCCATAATTGGGATTGCCATCTACTGCCAGTTTTCATTGGCTCCTGGGCTTTTGCATTGGCTACCCACATCTTTATCTGGGTCAGTTGGATCTACCCATACCATGTGTCGGAGCTTCGGCACGTCCCTACCGTCCCAGGATTCCCCTTGTGGGGTCAATATTTCGACATTATAAGCCAAGAATGTGGCGTGCCGCAGCGGGAGTGGCATCAAAGATATGGCCCGATCGTTCGATATTTCTTTCCTTTTGGTTCCGAGAGATTGTCGGTAGCCGAACAAAGTGCGCTGAGCCGCATCACTGGCGACCGATCAAATCAATACCTCAAGCCCTGGCGAGCGCGGGTGTGGATCAGTCGCATTTTCGGAAACGGCTTACTCATGGCCGAGGGAGACGAGCACAGACATCAGCGGAGGATCCTCCTCCCTGCGTTCTCGAGTCAATCCATTAAGGCTTGTGCTCCTATAGTCTGGGAAAAAGCTTTGATTCTTACCGATCGCTGGCACGATCTCACACAAAACGCGGGATGTGACCCTATGACGCTCGAAGTGTCAGAGTGGCTGAGTCGCGCTACGTTGGACGCTATTGGCGAAACATGCTTTGGACAGGATATCAACTCTCTCCGACAACCGAAAAGCACTATAGTGGCTTCCTACAAGCTTCTGCTTTTTCCCACTCCTTTATGTCGGGTGTTCCAAGGCTTGCGTACCTTCTTTCCGATATCCAGATACATACCAATCCAACCGAACCGCGACATGGACCGTGCGGAAGAGGATATCGCTAATCTAGCATCTAGAATGCTTCGACAAAAGGAGTTTGAGACAAGAGAGAAGGGTAATAGCTACAGGGGTCGGCAAGATCTCATTAGCCTGATGATGAGCCAGGACCAATCCTTCAGAGTCATGGGTGGGGCGAGCGTATCTTTTCAGGACAAACGTGATCAGGTGATGACGTTCCTAGGCGCTGGCCATGATGCGACGGCTGTGACTCTTGCATGGAGTCTTCATCTGCTCGCCAAACATAGCACCGTCCAGCGAAAGCTACGGCAGGAGATTAAAGCTCACCTTCCACTCCTATTTGGTGAACGAGCTACATGCAGTATGGCTGCACTCGCTGCCGCCGATTTAGACAGACTGCCCTACCTCAACAATGTCTGCCGCGAAATTTTGCGTTACATCCCAGCAGTTCCGTCGATCTCTCGTGAGAGTCAACTCGACGATGTCTTAGCAGGCTATCATGTACCGGCAGGCACGACCGTGCACATATCACCAAACACAATAAATCATCTCCCCTTGTACTGGGGGGAAAAGCCCAGCGAGTTTGACCCTGACAGGTGGGACAACCTACCCGACTGCTGGACACCCGGCGCCTTCATGACATTTTCTCGTGGACTGAGAGCCTGTATTGGCCGCCGACTGCTCGAAATGCTAATGAAGGTGTTTTTATGCGCTTTGGTAAGCAGATTGGATTTCAACATGAACAAGAAGAGTCCGGATCCCGAAAGGTCGAAGGTGTGCAGGACGACGCTACAGCCCAAAGACGGAATCACATTGACCGTGTCAATTACATCTGAAAACAGAAACGCTTACCCTAGACCGTGCCCAAGTGAGGTGGGCATAGTTAGACGAGTAACTTTGTGACAGTTTTCAAGCATGGAAAAAGGCAAAGAAACAGAAAGATGAGGAAACATGACATCGAGGGCAGGGTGGTATCAGATGGAAAGGTCAGAAAAAGCTGCTGCGTTATCAAACCACGTCAGTGTTCCTAGCTCGCATGACGACTTCGAAGCCTCCAACAAAATTAAACATTCAGGAATCGGGCAACTGCTCTGCAATCATTGAAATAAAATAGGGAATCCTATTCTCTCGGGTTCCAATTAGCATGCTGCGTGACCTTTGCTTGACATGTTTACGGCCACCTCTCGAGTTATCGGTCAACGATAGTAATACACAATACAGACGTCGTTTCTACGATCTGTTTAATTTAGTATGAGCTACTTTCGTGTTTTTTGTGAACTGTAGTTTGCTAGTTCTGAGTGGTAGGGATCAGTCCATAGGTGTTTTCGTTATTTTATGTCACCGGGGAAAGATAAACAACAAAAAGAGACCGAAGAAACAATGAAATTCAAAGCCACACGGTCAGGCGCAGCGAACTGAAACATTACTGGGAGCCACATCGAGATATGCTTCAAAAATGGTTAGGGCCATCGAAAAGCAGTATCATCAGTGAATATGGCACAGTTCCGGATGAATCTGTTCTAGCAGGATTGCTCTCGACGGCAGAATATTCCCAAGTTACGATCGGTAACTGGTAATCGCGATGTTGAAAAGTGTGTAAACGAAGTCACCAGTATAGTCCATCATATTCGACTCGTTGACGTTTTCTACGATGACTATATTTGGACTTACATTGTTTTCCTGCTCATGGAAAAGCCTAATTCTTGTTTCTCACGTTCGAGCCTAAAAAGGGCAGCACTATTCATCTTGGATCAAAGGTGGCCATGAATCAATGCCAGTAATGCTAGGAGGGGCTGGGAGATTCTCGCCAAAAGACGATATGAGGCCGTCAATCGACGTTGCTGACCTATGACAACATCAGGCGGAGTATGAATCCTCGAAGTGATTGAAATACCTCTTGCAAAACATTACCTTGTCCATGAAACAGCGCCTTGTAATGGTATGAGTTTCACGGCGTCCAGGAAACCCATTCCAGATTATCAACCCTCCCTAGGCAAATCGACTGTCGACTGCAGCCAACGCATGATGGATTCTACAAGTGGTCTATCGGTTGAGAGAAAAGAAGTTGAATGGAAACTCGAGCGGCTAATGGACCAATGGACCTCGCTCAGGCAGAACCTCATCGTACGTACAGTTCGAGATATCAGCCGATGACTATCCAGAATGTCGAGTAACTGATATACGATAACCCTCCAGAAAGCCGAGAAATTGGTCCTGTCGAGATTTTGCTTACATCTCCAGATCTTGGCGTTGAGCCTATGTCCGGATTACTCTACAAAAGAAGCGAGGGAACTACTGAGACGCGACGAGATGTCCATGTTGCAAACGTTCTTTGAGATTGAAGACGGATTAAATCCAGAATCAGTGGACCACTCTCAGGCTGGCCACTTGATAGCACTTGCGCATGGATTATTTGAGTCATCCGGAGGACAACAAAGTGATTTCTGGCATCAACTAGATCAACAGTACACGGCTTTCGACAATCAGAACATGTGTGGACTCATGGTAGATGTCAGCGGAAACAATTCACTTGATGAAGCCCATTTTGAACAACTTTATCATGCGATTCTGAGATCAGAGCTGCTTGTGGGGAAGAAAGGTGTCCTGAAATTTGACAAGTTCTTGGAAATGGTTGAAAAGTGCAAGAATGTCATCAACCCGAGTTTGAATGGGAAAGTCTTAACTGGATGAAGGAGTGCGCAAGCGACATGAATCCTTAGTAATTTCGGGTATGGGACCGACTGCCGGAGATATAATGTTATCGCGAATGTCCCAGCTTAGCCATCAACCTTTCTGCCGCCGTGATCACTTGCGATTGGACCGAGTGAGTGCTTGCCATGTCTTACAAGGGATAAGCCGCTTGCATCAATTACCTGCCCAGAGACAGCTTCCATTGTCTTGTCTCGTCCATTTTGACAAACTCATATACGCTGGCTTAGCGCTTAAAGCGTAATACCTCGGGGTATTCCTGGTGTTATCTAAACATCAAACTTGAAGAACTGTGCCGAAAACCACTACAACTGACGGTAGAGCATTCGTGGCAGCAGTCGGGCTTTCATGTTGCTCCCAAGACTTCCGCGTGCAATATCTCGACTCCCCGAACTGTTAACGGAAGATCGTATCGCTTCAATGTCTCGAGGAGTTGCACGGCACTGTTGGGCACATGCTTGAGGAAGAATTTCTCCACCAGGTCGTTCGATTGACTGGAGGGGGACGAGCAACGAGTATAGACAAAATCAAAACACTGCAACAAAGTAGGGTGACGCCGAAGGCAACGCAACACATCAACATCAAAGGTTGATAACTCCAAGACCTCCAACAATTGCAAAAGAACAACGGGCTGGATGGATGCACCCCACCTAGTCAATAGAATGGCAAGAGACGTATCCGCTCGATCTACTGACAACGCTGTTTGCAGCAGAGCATCTAAGAAACAGTTGATGTCCTCTCTCTTAGGGACAGTCATGCACCAGATCCCGTTTCTAGCTTCGTCCAGTAATTTGAGAAATGCTTCAATGGCCAGCAACCGCTGATTTCTCTGAACAGTGGCCCCTTGTTGATTCGCAAGCAAAACAATCAACTCCATGACATTATCAAAAGTCATGGATTCGCGCAAAGTTGTCAGGCCTGCTTCCAGTATCCATAGAATGGACACGAATGCGTGATCTTTACCAAACCTCCTCATCGTTGGCATCACGTTGGCACCTTTCTCCAACAGGGCGATAACCATCGACTTTCTCCTGTAGGAAGCAGCCAGGACTAGTGGTGTGCATCCGTAGCCAATATCAGCATTTACGTCCAGGCCGTACCGCTCGATTATGACAACTGCGAGCTTGGGCAGATCCTCTCGAATCGCTGCTTGGAACGCCTCGCTTTCGAATGGTTGGCGACCTATAGAGGCACCGTTCTGAACCAAGAGAATCGCCGTTGACTCTTGCCAGCAGCGAATCGCTTCCATAAGAGGCGTCTTTCGAAATGAGTCGGTCCAATCGGCGCCGTCCACAGGCAGACCCTCATCGATAAAATAAGACACAACGTGATCTAGTCCCCTTCTTGCAGCTAGCTTGAGAGGGGAGAAAAGTGTGGTATCTAGACGAAACAAAGACAAGGGGTGGTGTTTTTTCGCGTCTTGACAGCAAGTTAAGCAAGCCCCCGCACCTCTGGCAGCCGTCAGGGTCCTCAAAGCAACGGATTGATTTGGAGAGCGAACGAGAGCATGGAACACAGAGGTAGAGTTGTAGTTCTTTACGTCATTTTCGTACAGGATAGGGTTGCAAATCTTATGCAGGAGGCGACAAGACCGGGATAGCGATGCTTGAGTTTTGAGTGTGGACTGCTCCACAATCCCGCAGATGATTTCTATCGGCAACAGGAGAATCATTGCATAAAGTTGCGTTATCTATTGGTATTCATTGACTGCACTCCTTGGTGCTGAAGATGACGAAAAGTAGTTTCCAGCTCGAAGAGACGAGAGAAAGGTTGCGTCGGTCATGATTCGACGGGAGTGGCAGAGGAAGAAGTTTTATCTGAAGTAAGCTACATCTAAGGTATCTCTTGTACGGTAGCAGTGGAATACATAAAAGAGTACTTCGGACCGCCGGCAGTCCTGTTCTGGCGTTTTGACAGAAGCAAAATGCGGCACGAGAGGTCACAGATATCGGAGGCATTGCCTTCTGCTACCTGCCTCGTGTTCAAGCTATCGTATACCTTGGGTCTCAAATATGCCGGAAGATATGGAACGTACTCTACGGTGAGAAGGCAACATGATTCGCCATGGCCCATAAACCATTGAATGAAGAGTGCAGGTTTGGCGTTTTCATCCTCGTGTTACAGTACTTGTGTGCACGTATTGTTCAAATAGCGCAACAAGGCGCCGTTTGTAACGTTCAAGGCTGGAAAGTTGACCATGACAGATCCTGTGGTTAGCCATAGAACGGCGTTAGAGGAGAAATGCTCAGCTCAAAGAAAGACGGTAGCGGTGGGAAGCGTAAAGAGCAAACTGTTTCCGCGTTCCCTCACGTATGGTTGCAGTCTGGCAATGTCAGAAGGGGCATTACCTGTTTATGTACACAGTATTCTCGTACCACTGGCTATTTCCTCTACTCTATGTTACCTTGACAAGATCCTGTTCACCTTCCGAAACTCTTGCCAAGCTTACTGTGATGTACCTTCTAGGACCCGATTCTTTCATGATCTGGAAACCATGCGTATACGAAGACTGGCGACCGTGAATGTGGATGAGAGCCTCGAAAACGGCATTTAGTTGTTCATCCGAGTAGATTCGTCTGGGGATGGCAAGACACATGAACTCTGCTTGTGCATACCGGTTGTGGCCAGTGTTTGGATCTCTATCATTCATCAATGTGCCAATATCTGTTCCTCGTATTCCAGCGTCAACGTATAACTGCACTGCCAACGTATGTGCCACGAACTGGTCCCGGGGGACGTTGGGTAAGAAATTGGCGGCGTCGATCGCGACTGCGTGGCCACCTATGGGCTGCTGTATCGGGACACCAGCGGTTGCGAGCTTCTCGCCAAATCTCTCGACCTGGCATACTCGAGATCTTAGATAGTCATCGCAGGTCATTTCGTCGAGACCGACAATCAAGGCTTCCATGTATCTACGAGGCATCTCACCATAGCTCGTGTGCCCTTCGAACAGAATGACCTTCCGAGAGGCCGCCTCGAACCAGTCACGGTCTCTTGTCGCCACAATGCACCCAGCACCAACCAGACCGTTGCTCTGCCTGTTCAAAATCACGGCGTCCGCATACTGGTGCATCTCCCTGACAATATCCCTGATGGTACTGCTGGCATAGGTGGGTTCCCGTTGTTGGATAAACCAAGCATTCTCGGCAAAGCGTGCAGAGTCAAACACCACGGGAACCCCGTACTGACGCGCCAGATCTTTGACCTCACGCAGATTCTGTATCGAAATCGGTTGGCCACCGGTTTTTTCGCAGGTGATAGAGACCAGGATGAATGGGACATTGTCGTATTGAACACGCAGAACGAATTCCAGTTTCTGAATGTCGATGTTACCCTTGAAGGGATGGTGATTTGTGATACAAAAGGCATCGCCAAGAGGGCAGTCTTCTGCTGTCGCCTGCTGGAATTCGATATAGGCCCGGTTATTATCGGTATGAGAGTTTGCGGGGATCGTATTGTTCTCTTTAACAAATTCTGAGAGCAGGATATTTCCCCCTGTTCTCCCTTGATGTACGAAAAGGACGTGTTCCAACCCGAACATCTGCCTCACCTTCTCTTCGGCTTTTGCAAACGAAGATGGCCCTGCACCGGTCCCGGTTTCTTTTGCCCAGGCGGCCCACTGACGACAGCTCATGGATCCTGTACCGTTGTCCGTTAGGAGATCTATCGAGATCTGGTTGCCTTCGAGCTTGAAGAGGTTGTAGTCCACACTCTTGATCCAATCCTCCCTTTCTTCCATCTTTCTTCGCCGAAAGCCATCCATCGCAACTGGTCTACCGGGTTGGTACAACAAAATCCCTGTTAGTATGCCAACACACTTTGCCGCGTTGTTCCTGCGTTCTGTTTCTTTTTCTTTTTCTTTTTCTTTCGATTTGTTACTTCCTTGACGAGGAGGGCCTTGAGGACCTTTTGGTTCCTGAGAGGAAAGCTGGACCTCATTCAGCACACTCTTCAGCTTTTTGTGTGTTGATGTTAGTCGACAATACATCGCGTGATGAACAGCGAATGCGTGCAAATTCTTGTACCTTCAAGTCGTAATGGACAGAAAAAGACTTTCATCGGTTTCTAAACGACCGGATGGTGCTAGTCAGACGAGAGAAAGTCAGCATGTTTTGCATGGGCCCAATGCGAACTATGCATGAGGGTTAAACTCCAAAAAAGAAAATCCGTCACACAACTTGCTTTAGGATCCACGATTCATCATCTTTTGTTCGAACTTAGTCAAATAGTGCAATCTTTCTACTGGCCACAATATCACCGAACAGCATAGCAAACAGTTCACAGACCCTGAAGTCTCGTCGTCGTCTAAACATAGCACGAGTACGAACCAAAGTAGATTAGTTAGATGAATCTTATGCTTTGCATAACCAAAGGTGACATTAAGCTCCCCGTTAACAGGAATGGTGGCTGGCAGATACCAGCCATGACGAGGTAAAGAACGATGAGTATCAGAAAAGTCGAAGATGGGTATTTGACGTGAACAATGCCCAAACCAGTCGTTCAATACTCGATTACACAGTGAGCGAAACCTTTCCAGCAACATCAAAACAATCTTTTACCCGGCTTATACTAGCTTGATATTTCTGACGCAGAACAAAGCCATCTGATGGAACGTGTCAGGCTATATGCAAGGGTTTGGTGCGATTTGATGATAACCTACCTTTTCTGGGCAGTTTTCGTAAATCTCATCTTTATCATGTTTGTTCACTTTGCCATCAGGCCACCTCACAAAAACGTGGTAAGTTTTCGAAACATCGTCAACCTCTATGTGGTCGATGACTGCGAGACTCCATCGTCGATGCTGCCCATCAGTGGCATCTTCTCGTGTGGGTGCTGGCGGTCGCCGGTTGGTACTATGTGTTTGCGAACGGGTTCTCATGCTTGCTGATTATGTGATGGGGATGATTGGGAGTAAGCCTTCGTATGCGTGATAAACGAGATGGGGTGCCAGAGAATATCTTAACTCCACCGTGCGGATCCTGATATCGTGTTTGGGCAAACTCTCATTCCTGTGTAATACATACGGCAAAACCTCAACAATGGACGTCGAGCTATTGTCCGTTCGTGAGCTCCGGCCAGGACTGGCTGGGTGAAGCTAGCTAATAAACCAGAAACGGAGAGTTCCTTGTGCCCTGGAATGAAACGGCATCATCCTATTTCAGAATGCCACATTGGCCCATTTCATCTTGGTCTTAGGAAATGCAGTCCTTTGATAAGGATCTTGTTTTCGACGTTGTTGCTCGTCACCCGCTTCTGGGTAACATGAAACTTCAATGAGACTATTCTGACTCTTCTGTAGCTCCTGAACATAGCTGAAAGATCTCGACGCGTGATCGAGGTACATCGTCGGCCCAGATATGCCAACTTTTGATATCGGCAATAAGACTACGAAACTCGATGTTCTGTAAAGCAGTCAAGTTGAGGACTGTACTAAAAGCATGGGTGTTGCTACTTCGTGCCGCCTGGATGATGGAGTATTCCCCTACATCGTTGCCCTATTCCCTGGTATTCATATTGACTCAATACTGTGACAAAACAGGTCCTTGAGGCTATTAGTCAAGGGAAAGATATTCTCTGTTTGTGTGGCCTTACTAGGTTATGACCATGACATTCTACCAGTAGCCCATGGCATTCACGGTGATGGTCAGGTATAGCTTCTTTTTCTTAAAAAAGAACTATGGCATGCTGTTCCTGTCTGTACAGTGTTAATAACAGCCTGAAATAGACTGTATTTCCCTCCACGAATGCAGATAGACCTTCAGCTCAAGCTTCATCCGCCTCTCGATGATGAGGTACTAGGCGGCAATCTATTGGCACATCGACCCTTGCTAGCTTCAGGTTCAAGTCCTTTCCAAAGAAGCTTTTCACATGTTTGAAGTACATCAGGCTAGAGCACTATGAGGGGTGTAATTTATCTGGCCGCCAATAAGGCCCAATGGCAAAGTAAACCAAAGATGAGTTGCGGCAAGATTTGGAAGCATTCCCACATCGAGGAAACAATGTCTGACAGGTGGATAACTCTTGAATCTCAACAGCTTATCGTGAGTAACGGCAGGACTGACCCGCAGGATTAAAAACTATTTTTTTGAGTTTTTCCGAGGCGTAAGTCCCCAATCTACATATCAAATCAACACAAGAATAATCGCAGGTTGTGAACCTAAATGCTAATAAAGGTCCGGTCTCAAGGTATGTTTTGTGACTCATAAAGTATCACAATGGTTACCATAAAGGATCTTCTTCTTCCAACAGGTTAGTTGTCAAACACTTCCTCATCAATATCAACATCGACAAAACCACACAACCACACAACCACAAAGTCGCCCAAGATGACATCCTTGAGAACAACAATCGCCCCTGGGCACGACAGTGTCCAGGAGGACATCTATAACAACGCCCCCAAGATCACCAGCATCACTACAACACACTCAACGTGGTTTGAGAAGTCCCAAGGCTACCAATACCTCAAAGACAACCGCCCCGACAGCCATGCGTTCCTGAACAAGCACCAGGTCGTTGCGCTCGCCCTTCTCGGCTGCGAGGCCATGTCCATCGATATCTATCAACAGACCAACCAGGCAATGTTCAGAGTCTTACTATCAAAGGAGAAGAAGGCTCTCCTAACCGCCTTTCGCAACATCAAAAGTACCATTCCTAAGAAGAAGGGAGCCGCCAGAAAAGATGTCAAGAAGCTGCAGGACAGGGAGGAGTGGATGAAGTCACTTTTCGAGCTGTGGGAGAATGTCAAGCCGTGAAAATGAGTCACAGATGACTCACGAGGCGTTCGGAGGAGGTGGCGTTATTCTGCGAAAATTTTGTCGAATCTGAGTTCGTTGTGTTGAAAAAATCTGCAAAGTTAAAGGTGGAAGGTTTTGGGGAGGAAGGGAAAAAGCTTGTAATTAACGCCGTAGCTTTCAACACGATAAAGGTCAACGCAAAGCAGGATTAAAAACAACTAGGCGTCAGGACTAGCTCGTACGCCTGAGGCTGCCAGAAGGTACACTTACCTGTAGGCTCAAAATAGCTTCACCGCGGTTTTCGCGTGGTACAACGAACACCAGGCCCACCCTGCAATTGTACCTATGCAGCTATAAATCCCTCTTACGTAATTTACAAAGGGGATGTTGTTGGGAAGAGGAAGGTGCATATATACAGTACTACATATTTAAATGGACCATAACAGACAGCCAACGGCGAACGATTACTACGGAATCTCTGATGGTAGCTAGCGTGACATACGGTTTGCTATAGGGTTAAATCCCAAGCATAGTATACCACGTACGCCTATTTTGGACCTTTTTCGGATAGGATAGGCTCTTCGATCGAGCAGGCGCTGGTTCCATGTACTCGGCAGGGGTGATAATGCTTACTCCTGTCATTTCGTTATTTTGGGACCCGGTAACCGGAGACCCTTGAGGTATCGTAGGTGCACATTGTGGAGAGCCTCCTGAACCTACATTAACCAGGCGGCAGGCGCTCTGCTGTCTGTGCTTCGGTCTCAAAGTCTGCGTTGGCAAGGCGTCTGTCTATTTCGAAGCTGGTTGTCCCGTTCATGAACATGGCCACAAAAAATCCAGGAAATGACGACATGTAATTATGTGCACGCCACAGTACATGGGAAGCGAGCTTTAGCTGATCAGTCTCAAGTTTTCCAGTCGACTCTATTGAGGACCACTTCATTGACGAAAATGTAAGATTCACCTGTGATTCTGTCTGACAACTTAGAAGCCCACCTGTGTACAAGGTTGTATGTCTACACATCTCCTGCTGAAGGATAGAATATAAGCACAGCTCTCCATTTCCAAAATATGTTCTCCAAGACAGCAACAGATATCTTTTATTGACTTTCCGCAGGGCGAAACCTATTTCCAGGTGAAATGGCAAGGGCATGAAAGCAAAGCTGAATGGACCTGGGAGCCAGAAAGAAACCTCAGGTTGGTCCATGATCACCCTAATCTGGGACATAACACTCGTGCTTATATGGAAATACTACTACAGTGTTTTCGATGACAATTTGGTTGACAAATATTTCAAAAGGGTTGCAAGAAAATCAAAGAAGAAGGAAAGGTCCGCCAAGTCCACCAACATCAGGAAAAGGATCAGAGGTTACCAATCAGGAGACAATACGCGAGAATTGCAATGGAAACCACCTCGTGGTGATTGGGAAAACGAAATCTCCTCGATCGACGGCTTCGATCAAGACCATATGCAGGAGTTGAAAGTCCACGTTACATGGCGCTGTGGTTACAAAACCAGACATCCGGCTATTTTGCTCTGCAGGAAATGCCCCAAAAAGGTTCGTTACGCATTCTATCCTATTGCTTATGCGAGATTGTATGCTCAAAGCATCAGGTCGTTGAATATTTGGAACCATATATCTTGGAATCCTGATTGTTCAGTGTAATCGACTGTCGGTAATGGTTACTTATTGAAATCCGCGATGGGTCCAGTGTCAGGCTTCCATAGAGAGAAACGTAAAGTCCACCTCTGCACTGCAGTAGAGCTATATATTTGACAAAATACTAAAAACGACCGGTATGCTTGGTACTGTATTCAAGCATACCTTGTTTCTTACATTCAACAAGCTGTCGTCTCTGTGCACCCCCCATTGAATTACCTTTTGATGGGTGCCAAATTGAGGATGATGATAGCTAGCATTAGTCCATAGCTTTCTATGGAGCGACTAACTTGCGGCGTTACGGCTGTAAACGCTAAGTCTTAAAATGAACAAAGCTTGAACAAAAGTCCATTTAAAGCCATCCCAGCAACCCATCAACGCAATGGCAATCCTACATCGTAACTGTACAAACGGGTTAAAATATTTAAAACAGCAGGTCTTTGCATGTCGATGGGACTAGTAATCCCAATATTATTTATTTTTATCATTCAGTGACGATACGATGCCATCTCTAGCAAGTCCTTTCGTTCCAAATGACAACAAACCGGAGGAGATGCCATCAAATGCCGAAATTGGATTTGATCTACCTGATTACGAGAGTCCCATTGATGTGGCCTCATCGACTCCATACCTCCCGATGCTACCGCCAATTCCTGAGACTGTAGAATCTAATATGGCAAGGAGGGAAATCAAACAGGATGCATGGGGTGCGATTAGCTGCAGCCCAAGCAGTTACACCACCAGCTGGCAAGCTAGAATGGATAAGACAGACAAAGACATGGAGGTATTGAAAGGCAAGCTGCACGCCCTTGAGGGTGCTCAAGATGCCCAGACCAGGATAATCGGGAGGCTTCTGCTGTGGCAAACACAAGATTGAGATATGGGCTGGAGGTCACTGTCAATGGTTGATCGTTAGGTCGTGATCGAAAGGCCTGGAAACAAACGGGAAAAGGACCGTGTACAAAGTTCACGATATCCCGACGACAGCCTTACCCGTCTGAAAACAACGTGGCCCATGTTGGAAGTCTAGGAAGTCGGTCGTTAATAGTTTGCCACGCAAGAAAAAAAAAGAACAATCGTCATTCTTTTCCTGTACCTTTACGCCTCGCTCATTTCTCCTTCGTTATATTTGATCCAGGGTAGGTTCTCGGCCTGTTTGCAGTCGTGTGTAGACAAAATAGACGTGGGTTTCATTCCGTCAATGAGCTAAAGGAATGAATTTTTGAAGGATTGCTTGGTCAATATGAAGTCCATGTTTTATTTTGACAAATGTAAAGCAGAATTGGTGTGACCATGTCTGAGGATGGGCATTTTACAATAGACGCATCGCCATCCAATTGCTCCGAAATATCTTCTTGTATCTTCGCTGTAGTAATGAGCTACCGCAACTGAAAGGCGTTAGGCGTCGCCTAGTATTCCGTTGAACAGCTCAAAGCTCTGGTTTATATCCTTCTCCGCTTTCTTTAGGTCCATAGGACGGGTTTGAGGGTACTTGTTTACGGCTCTTGAAAAGCGCAGATGAGGTAGCCATCGAAGATATTTTCAATAACCTTTCGATTTTAATTTCAAAAGTCGTGCTGGAGTATCTCGTTTCAGCAACAACAAATCCACCAACAAAACAATAATTTTACTCGGACTGGTACTGACTTCAAAACTTCTGCTAAGAAAATCAAAGGTTATATTCTGAGTCGTAGAAAGCTGATATCATGATTGATGTCGTGGAAAGCAATCCTTCTTGTAAGTCAATTGAAGTTGAAACTTCCATTACCCTTGTCTTTATCATCAACACCAACATCAAAAAGCAACAAGACGACAACACTTGTAGTAAAAGTCGCTCCTGACACCTTCGAACTCCACGGGACCGCTACAACACCTCAGTCCTGTGATCGACTTCAGTCTACTCCAAGAAGGATACCTACGGATACCCAGCGCGTACGGCTACCTCTGCAAATACCCTCCTATCAGGAGATGGAGCCAGGCTATTATCAACATGAGGGACCACGAAACCGTTGCCCTCGCCCCTTTCAGTCGTCAAGTCTTTAACTGCAAATCCGATAGTCGTGGCAACGATCTTGCATTCGGGGTTGTCCGTTGGAGGCTGAGAGGGTTTTTGAGACTTTCTACCAACCCTCAGAAACACGCGGCCGATGACGAAATGGCCGGTAAAAAGGACATATCCAAGTGGAGGGTAAACGGCCCAAGGAGGTCCTTTCTTGCTTTTCGGAACGTTGTTCGATCGTTAGAATGTGTCACCAAGAACTCACGGGACGTAGGGCGAATCGTCTGTTAAGAGTCTTTCGGATTTCGCGGTTCCAGTTTCCTGTACTGAGAAAGCAAGCTCTTGGGAAGGAGGAAGAGGGAAAATATTTAACACTTTAACACTTGACGCAATGGATCTGTGCTAAAGCTTTGTCTTCCCAACAGGGATTAGCTCCACGTTTTGATGAAACCAGAAGACGACAGAGTCTTCGTCATATCTCTCGACAGTTTGAAAGTGTGTTTTTATTCTCCATATTCTATCAAGACTCAGACTACTAACGTATGCGTTGGTTGACCTGCTTTCGTATTGTCTGAGATGGGTTCTGCCAATCATATTACCATGCATGTTTAAGCAGTTCCTCGAAGAGACTAGACTTCTGGAAGGTCTATCACGCCTGTTCTCTTAGCCTCATATCCTTCTTTCCCCATATATCGAAATGTGTGGAAGCTAGTCAATTAGTTTAGACCTCAATGTTTCCAGCGAGGAGCCATGGACAAACGCACCTCCAGTGAAGATTGCCGAGGGCAATGTTTTGACAGCCTCGTACAAAGCGTTCTACACTTCGATCAAAATGAACTCCCCAAGAGGGAAGACTTGTTTTCGCGTTATGCCATCTCCGGTAGCAGTCGTGCAGCATTTCCCCTATTTGATCGACGGCTTGCTGGGTAGTCATTCCTTGATCCTTGAGGATGAAGATAATGTTGATCTGTTCGCCTTTGATAAGGTCTTTTCTATATGAGAAAAGATCATTTTGTCTGCAGTTAATTGGCCAGATTAGATGGAAATGATGAAGAAGTCGACTTTGATTCTCACAGTGTTATTAGATCACAAGTAATCCGTGCTATTTCTCGAATGGACGAAAATTCCATGACATCGTGTGGCAGGTCGATTCCCTCCGCCAATCTGTTTGTTCCCAGGTTAGCTTTCAGATTTTGCTATCATGGATCAAGGAACGAAAGCACTGCCGCGGAAAGGCGCCCTTACGCCACATCTTTCGCATTTCCTTGGTTGTACCTACTCCATCAGTCCAATGCACGGATAGACTCCTACAGACTGAGCTCTTATGTCCATGTATTCTTCGACAGTCGATCTCGAACCACCGGTTTGGAACGCAATCTGTTGAAGTACGCCAACAAAATACATGATCAACTGTTGTTTCCAACGATACTGCAACGTAGGGCTTGCTCGCTCTCTGAAGCGCATCCAGCATGATTGGAGCGCATGCCTTACCGGGCTTTCTTCGGGAGGAACGATGGGATGATTGTTATCAAGCGTGAAGAGAGTCCGTATAACTTCTTCAGCTGCGGCAGTCGGGTTCTTTGCAAAGTAGCCCTCATCAAATGCTATCATCGTCAGTGGTTGTCACAATCACCCGTGCGGTATGTTCCTTCATGGGAGTTCCAAAGTGTTCGGGGAGGTGAACAGTTCCTAGCCACTTACGGTCGTCAAAGGCAAAAACCCATCCGTTCCAATCATTCATTAACTTGAGCATTTCGAGATCGGCATGAGGAGCGGAGATTGCGCTCATGAATGCAATATCTAGTTGGTTCCATATGTTGGCTTTGTCATTATCCATGCGTAAAGTACTGGGCCACAAGTCAATCATCATTTAGTGCGCATCACTGACGTTCTGAGCTTACTCTTGTAGCCAGTTGTCCGATAGAACTTTGGAAAGCTTGTACATGCAGTTCAGCTGAGGCTCCACAGCCATGATGGATGAAAATAGCGCCTGGGGCAGTCGAATACTGCATTTACTAGTCCGTCGTGGTGAACCTTCGGTACCTGCAGGCTGGCATCTGTCCATCAGAGAGTGTTGTAGCAAACTCGAGCAGGCGTGTTTGACCGTAGAGCTGGGGGTATTTGCCGCCTCCAACGATAGAATTTCAATGCGAAGGGCCATCACGGACTTCTAGAGCCGCATGAGATAGAACAAGGCATAACAATAGGTTCAAGAGCGAGGGAACGTGTGAGCTGGACAAAAGCGATGGATGGTTATGACAGCCTTCTTGGAAGGAAAAACAAAGGGCGAGCAGGCGAAGAATGGAAACAGGGACAAACAAGGATCTAAGCTTTGATCATCAGAACGGCTGTGACTACGGGAGGTTTTCTTCTTGTTTCTTCAAGGGATCAACCTCATAGAGCAGCGAATAACTATACTTACAGACACATTGAAGCATCCTCGGCTAGTCGACATCGTATCATGGCAGGCCCAAATAGGCTGCGGGGTACGAAAAAAGCTCGAATTGGATCAATGCCAATGCGTTAGCAGCAAATTTTCGCCTTTTGCGCGACTGCCACTCAACTTCTAAATAGCTCATGCATATTTTACGAACGAATCCTGGACCCGAGAAGTAACACAACCGACGAAGCGTAGACAGGCAAACTCTTTGTTGCATTGCGATTTATGATGCCGACTTTGAATGATAATCAGGCCGGTGGCGAAGCTGAAAAGCATCTTTGTGTATCCGCTACTGAGTATGAGGCCCCGATGGCCGGTCCAAACGGACGGACCGAGCATAACATATCATGCAGCTCACCGGCGCAAGATTCGTCACCGAGTTTCGGGGCGATGACTGATGATGAATTGCGGCATTACGCCATACTCATGCACAAATGTCTCCTGGAGACGGAAACAAAAGCTAAAGATAGAGGAGATACTATTGCCAAGCTGAAAGAAATTGTTTCTTCTCTCAAACACGATAATGAGAAGCTGTGTGAAGCTTTTAGATGGCAACTGGAGGACGCAAACCACCATCGATACTTTTACACCCGGATTCTGGATGCGACGCGTGGTACATCTTCCAAAGTGGCGGAAATCCAAGAGGAGTATATGAGAACTGTGGATGTCAAGATGTTTATTGATGATGTTGTACCAACACTCAAGTAGATCGGCTTTTAATCATGACTGACTGTCAACACGGGCAGTAAACAATATGAGTGGTACGGGAACAATACCAGCTTTGGCGAAAATGCCTGGAGGCTCGTGTCTGCTATCCGTTAACAGTTTTTGATGCTGATCCTGTCTGCCTCTTGTGAAAGAGGTTGTTTTATCGGATAATACGCCTTCATTACACCGGATTAATCACTTGGATATCTTGAAGCTTGTTTTGGAGGGGAGTCAGTTGTTGTTATTTCCTCGTAAGAACCAGACTCATAACTATGGGAACCATATCCAATTTGTGTTGCAATGCCCTCTTTCTCTAATATACGTCCTTATCAAGGTTGAAATAGGTCCGGGTACCTTTGTAAGTATGCGAATGTCGTGTCGCTATGTCTCTATGCATCTCCTACAACTTACATGTTTACAATTGTAGCACTCGAAGAACAGACCGTACTCTTCCGAGCCACATTTAGGGCAGGTCCACTCTGCTAGGCAGCTATTTGCTCTCACTATCCAAGAGTGCCCCGCCGCTAACTCAGTAGCACAGTCGCTTCGTACCTGTCCTGGCGATCCATCTAAAGATGGTACTTGTGGAACATAAGGGTCATGAATTGAAAGACATTCTGCCAGCTGTGGACTACAAGTTTGGTGACGTAATTTATACGATATTTTCTCCATGGTTTGTAGGCCAATATGGAACTAGGCTCACACAACCAGAGCCGCAACTATGCTGTTCTTGTGAAACGGACGACTCAGCGGCATCTCTATTATATATAACAACATGATGTACTATTTTAGCCGCATTGCCTTATGAAAGACTGTTTAAAACCTCGGACACCAGGCCTGATTCGTCCTAAAGAATGCGTGCGCTCTTTTGACAAGCAGGCCTGGGCGACATTCATGCCACATCTTTCACAGCTGTCCTTTCGTATGAATACGCATATAAACTACAGACGTTACATCTACAGGGCTCCTAGTTACTTATCTGTCGTTATTCTTATCAGAACAGACGAGTTCGTGGCCAATAAAAGTCATCCCGCCCCACAGGCACATGGTAGTTGAAATTCACTTAACACAATGGTCCATTTTTCAAAACAGCTGATCGAAAATCAATGTCAATTCTACCCATTTTCCTGTGGCCTCTGTGAAACTGGGGCGTACCACATCACTCGTGCAACTACCGCCTGCGGTATCGCCCTGATGTGGACTTTATGTACCAGTCCATTATATATGCTCAGGCGAGTTCGAACAGGGCCAAAATTAGTCAGACGGAGATGGCCACATTTGTGTGGTTGTTCTCAATGGAAGACAGGCTCGGAAAATAGCTCGTACCCATTGCTGTTGTCAACACAGGTGCCACAGCCGAGGCTTTCCTTACGACGTGTTTTCTGTTTGGTCCTTGACCACTCTTTTTTACATAGTTGTAGTTGAGGAATTGTTTTTTCGCAAGTCGCATTCTACATTGTCTTTTGATGATGACGATACATCAGTGTAAGATACCAGTAGCGACTAACCTTCCAGCCCAAAATCATCCTCTATGGTTCCCTTCCAGTCTTGGGCATTTGCACCTTCTTCACGTACCCTTGCAACAACCCTCGTTTATCACCCTAGCGGTCCAAGTACAAGTATCCGCAGAATCTACTTACATACTTGCTGATTCATCACTCAGAGACAATATAGCAACGCAAGTTTAATACAAGTAGGAAAGATTAGCAATTAAACTATGCAGTCGTCTCCACGTTTCCAACCTGACACCCCGAGCCTTTACGCACTAGCAGTCCTAATGAGCATCATGTTCGCTTGACAATAAATCGTTCTTGCACACCTTCTTTTACCAAATTAGCTGCATTTGAGATATAGTCAAGTACCTGGGTGACGCCGTCTTACACGTCATGAGGACCATGCTGTTCCATGGTGGAGGGTTCAAGTGCTCAAGACTTGACTGACAATCACACTCTTGCACTGCTTCCCCGCCATTTTCCACTGGCAAATGATACTTGGAATAGCATGGGACAGTTGCGCCCTTTCCGTTGCAAGGTAACAGAGATGATCATCTGTTGTTCTTGAAGACATGCTGGCAAACTTGTTTGCTAGATTGTCCCTGTCCAAATCTCTTGGTATTTCGTTGTACCTTTCCTGTTAATAGGCGGGAAAATATGGCATACGAGCTTCTATGCGGTAACCCGGTTAGTCCGTAGGTTGATTGGTATCTAGGTTCAACTATCGCCACCCAAGCCTTCTTTTTGATATATTACGTGCTTTGGAAACAGCTTTGGGCCTTTCTGTCTATTGTGAACAAACACTGCAAAGCTGTTATTTCAACGAACTGTGGTATTGCCAATTATACTCCCCTTTGCAAGGATGTTTTAGGCTTCTAACGAGATATAACAATGGTGTTCACTCATACCGATAGTGGAACATATCTTTCAATCGCATTACTGCCGACGCATGTCTTCCTGTCCACAAGAGAATGCACTAATGTTTGGTCTAATATCACTGTCGCTATTTGAACTTTTCTACTGTTCGAGATTGCACGTAGTGGTTCGACGGATGAAAACTAAAACCGCGCTTTATTTTCTCTTCTGAATCTACAATGAGCGAAACTGTTTAACGTCTAGTTATCGTATCGGAATAATACTAAACATGGTAAATCTGATGACGAAAAGAACCTGAAACGTGGTACTAATGCACGATAACGAAACAACCTCCTAAGACCTACATAACCCAAAACCTCAAGGAACAGCCTCCAAAAGCTATCAATATCAAGTGGTACGCTCTATAGCAAGTACGAGTAGCTACCTAGTGCACGACCAGCCGGGTAAAAGCATTATGTAGCTGATGGGGGTATTGACCGTCTCCACAACTCATCCTGCATTTGTCTCATTCGTTTCTGCTCATCCATCAGGTTTTGTTGTTGAGCACCGAAAGTGTCTATTTTCATATTCATATTTTGCACAGAGGCCACCAAAAACTCCACTAGGTTTTGTGGGATCCCCGCATTTCCTGGAGGCTCTGATGGCTGACGCTGGCCCAGTTGTTGACTTTGCTGGTTGTTGCCCCCAAAGAACGGTCCATTTTCATACTGAGGTTGGTGCTGCGAGCTACCACGTTCTGTGGAGTTTATAATCGGATTCAGGTTCGGGTTGAAGATTGCGGAGACGTCACTTTCAACTGATCCCGCTCGAGGTTGATTGATAGGATGCGGCGGAGAGGTAGGCAAAGTTTGCCAAGACCCATTCACCATGTTCATAACAGCGGGTGAAGTATCACGCGATTGGACGCCATACGTAACCCGATCATCATACATCTTTTTCTTCGCCTTCGCAATGTCATATATCGTCTTGTCGTCGAACCGCTTACCAAATCGACTCTTCAGGGCGGACCTGCTCACCCACGAGTATTCAATTTTATCTTCAAGTTTTCCGGTTCCGTCACGAGCTTTTTTAGACCATCCAACCTTAACATATGTTGTTGGATATCTCCACTCCTTCATATCAGGCTTGTCTTCCGCTGACCGACGTTTCTCGTACTCTTCCTTGGTCTTGGGGTTCAAAATTTCGATGTCATAATTGGCATCACGGTCAGCCTTCACGAACGCGACTGCATAAACACCTCTCATCTCACCCTTCGAATATCTATAGTTAGACGGTCCTCCGTCGGTTGGTGTATCCCTTATGTGGGCCAATTTGTGATCATACTGCCTGACGTCTGGAACATTGTCACGATCATAATCGACCCCGTGCTGGGACTCGATGATGTGTAAGCGACATACTCCCCTTACTCCGTAGGCGTTAATATACCAACTATCACCGGCCCTGGCGACTGTTTCACAATTGCTGATACCAATGCTCCCGAAACCGGGAATGACCTCATTGTGATCATCATCGATAGAGAGGATAGGAGTCTGACCAGTAGTAGCCTGAGGGGGGGCAGCCTGACCGGGCACAGCCTGAGGGTCCACTTGTCTACTAGCGTTTCTCGCCCTTTCAAGAGCGGCAGCAGGAGGTCCGCCATTAGAATCGTCGTCATCATCACTGCCGTCACTTTCTTCGCCCCTTTCGCCCATTTCAACATCCTTTTCAGTTTTAACGGTAACTGGCGAGTTTTGTTGAGCGTCAGGTACTGGATATGCCCCTAACTTCCTCGCCCATACGTCGTCTTGTATTTCTAGCACTGCGTTATCATTCTCTTCCTTAAATGCTAAGAAATCAGACAAGTCTTGGTCTTGCTCTGGAGTTCTACTGGTGTTCTGGAGTAAAACGATAGCTTCCTGCAACTGGGCTCTTCGCTGAGTTACTTTTCTTCTTTTGGCCTCATCCTGATTTCCAATATCTGCCATTGTTTTGAGAAAAGGTTATACGGTTCTCCAAAAAGGAAAGGAAACCACGATGCAGTATCACGATATAGGTGAACCGATACGTGAATTATATAGTTTTCGACCAGCTACAAGAAAGCTCGAATCCGCCCAAAATAGGCTATATTCAAACCATTAGTATAACAGCAATTCCGTGAGTAGGACTAGTGATCGATTCGGTTCTCGCTACGCATCTATTCCGTAATAAAGTCACATTTGGAACCAAATGCTCAAGATCATGGACGTTCTGTTACTACAGTAGACATCGAAACCGGTCGTCCATCTGCGTACTCTTTCTCGTCCACAGCGCACATACTACAGGCAGAATGTGTATCTAGTGCTTATGGCGAACGATGTCCGCTAATGTACTTTCGTCAATAATGGCCGTTATCGCCTAGCACACTATGAACACTCTGTGTTTGGTCACTGCCTCACGCGATCAGCTTATACCAACCGGTGATATAGCATGAGAAAAGCTATATTGAGACTGCGTGGACAAGTATTTGTCTTGTACAGCTAGTGAGCTACAGTAATATGAAAATATGTCCGTTCTCGTTTGCTTTTGGGGTCATTTTTGGATTCTCAAATGATCAAGTCTGCTAATTCATGGCTATTACCAATACTAACAGGGTTCTTTCGTCCGTTTATAACCATGGAGTCGCTTTAAACTTCCAATCATGCATGTAACCTGCCAGCGAGAAACATAAACAGACTGTATGAACAGATGAAAAGCACAGTGTAATCGGTACGCCTCTGTTTGAAAAGGTTCGTGCGATATAATAAAGATTGCCTAAAAAAAGGCAACTGATTTTGATCTTTATTGTATTTCAGTGGCGAATATGGATGGCGACAAATGACAACAAATTCAAAAGAACTAAGCTTGTGTCGACTTGTACAGGCGATTGACCAAAGTAAGAGTGGTAAATCCTATGAAGGCTGTTTGTGTATCGAAACAGGCTGTTGTCAACATCCCTCAACGTCTAGAATACGCCTTCATTGTGACAACAGCAAATTGATCTCCGTGATCAATGTCTTATTGAAAACATGATCAATAATGATCCGATCTTTCTCTTGCATGTTCCCTCCTTTGCTCGCTGTCAAGGTTTGTTGTGGAATCACAATGCAGGTTGTGCATCTATTCTATTGTCCCAGACCTGTATCCGTACGATTTCGACGATGATGTATGATCGTAACATATCCTGAGTGGGGAAGACAATAACGTGTTCAAATCACACAGCACAATTTGCGTTTTCTACGTCACCCTCCTACCTTGGAAAATTCTGTTATCAGATGGTTTGAAAGCGCATAGAAAGGGTATTGTTCCATCTTCGAACTTTTGACTATCATCGTGACGAGTATTCATTCCATTGATGTATTTGTGAAAGCTAGTTTATATACCCTATTAACGTCACAAAAGCCGGCGAAACCATGGTTACAAGTATACACGTGTATGTCTTTGGGCTTTTCAGGCCTCCGCGTGGTTCTTTTGGTCATTCGGCTTCGGGGGGAGCGGCAACAGAGCATTTCCAAGTCTCTTGAGACCTATGGCGCTCTCTGTGAACTTGTGGAACGTTCAAACATGAGCTTAAAGAGAAAAGGGGGGATGGATAGTGTTTCTGGTTGATGTCAATTACGATAAAATATGTTACCTGCGATTTTCTCACATATCCTAAAATTTATTCAAGCTCACCAAGGTACCCTGGCGTCGTGTCATGCTTTCTCTATTATTTGCACAGCATTTCGACCATTTGTGACAACTAGGACTATTCAAGACAGAATTTGGATTCATGTATACCGGAATCAGAGGCGCAGTTCTGTGAAGAGTTCAATGTTGCCAAGTCTTTTGTGACCCTCTTGCAAAACCCATTCCAAAGTTATGGGCTCACTATTGATGAGAAGATAAGCTTTTCTCGTGAGCTATAAGCATTCTTTTTCTGCTGGAAGTCTATTCACAAAAACCCGAAGTCCTAGACGATAGCGGCCGCTGATGCTGTCCACGGTGCCGTGTTGCATCATGGCAGTCAACTTAATGATGTTGAGAGCAACGCTCTACCACGTGCTTCGGAATCGATTCCAAAGAACGGTCGAAGCAACATAGCCTCCGATTCAGGCTGAGGTAGCTTTCAATTTACCATCCCAACAACAGCAACGCAATACATGGACTTTACAGAAATTTCAACTTTCCTATTCCCTTCCTCTCGAACGCCGCACGTAGAGCTCTCGGTTGCAACGGCTTCATATCAATAACATTCTCGTTCCGGAAGAACCCAGTTGTTCACGTCCTACTTTCCCAGCAGGATCAACCAGGGCTCATCCATATGAGAGCGGCGAGAGCGAGGAGAATAACTAACAAAGTAGAATAAACATGAACTGAGGGAGGGCCAACCGTCTGAAAGCCGCTGTCGGTGTCGGATTGCTTGGTTGTTGAAGGCCAGATAGAAAAGCCTCGGCGCGTGGCTATGCATTGCTTAACACATGTTTTCATCATGGCTAGGGTGCAATTGATTTGTACGCTTTCTGTAACGTTGTCCTGTGAGTGCAGAGGCCCAGAAAAGATCTGTCAGGACGTAGCGTACTGTGGTTAAACTTGGAAAGAACCTTGAACGCCAGGCTATTGTTTTGAATTGAGCTGATAGTTTCAGAAGATGAATCGTTCTTAAGGTGCAGGGGAGAAAATGAAAACACATCAAAGTGGTCTTTCAATTGAAGATCACCGCAGGGGATGATCTGTGACGTGTTTCCCCGTGCAATTCATGGTGTATATCGTCTTAACTACTTAGCTACCAATTCTTACTACTCTCCACATTTTTCCCAAACGTCCAAAACTAACATCAGGTAGAAGTAGCTTTAGCCAATCTTCTTCTTTTATTTTTCGCTTCCTTTGCGCAGCTGCATCTTCCATATACCGCCTGTAGAGCGTTCTCGGATATCTTACCCGGACAATGGAGATGCATAATATGTTTTCCACATAATTTCCACTCGTAGTGTTGCCAGCCTTCGAAAGGCTTCTCACATAAAAAGCAATTCTCGCTTGTTATGAGTTCCTTCTTGATTAAATCTGTGAGGATATCATGTGTCATCGTCTTTGGGAAACATAAGAATTTGTCGTAGCGATCACGGTTCGTATACATTAGGTAAAACTCTTTCTCGACTTGTCTCAGTTTTGTTTCATCCATAAGCCCTCGTTCCTTATCTCTCGTAGCCGATGTGCAATCGTTGAGCCCACAAGCATATCTTTGCAAATCGCCGCTTCGTAGAAGCTTCATCATCCCTTCTGGATCATGAAGTATGCAAGTTTGCCACTTCAATCTGGGCTCTAACGCGACAGTACTCCTGCCGAGGCTGGAACGCTTGCCAGGTTTATCGTCTTCATTTTCTTTTGCTTCCTGCCCATTAATAGGAATCTCTGCACCGTCATCGTCGTCACTCTTCCTTTTCAATGTCTTTACAAGGGCTCTAGCTCCATCCTGGAGGCTTTCTTCAGGAACGTTCGCTACGATGTCCGTAACCTGCTGTTCTTTGGACCCATTAGGCTCTGTTTCAGCACTCGGGGAAGATTCATCGCTGAGGTTTTCTTTGGAACCAGGCATCTTATTGATAATGTTCTTCAAGACGCATAAAGCATTCTGCAGATGATGTCGTGTTTAGGTTCAAGGTTAAGGGTATTTATACAGCCACGGAATATAAGATTGAGCTGCGGGAGACCCGGGGCGAGTATGTATCCATTCTAACACAAAGTCCACTTTCGCTTTATACATAACTCAAGACCATCTCTGGTGCCGCAAAGGACGAAAGAAGAATGGGCAGAGCAGATTTGGCGTTTTAGAGACATGACTCGACTATACTTTACGTCGAGGGATCCGTGCATAAGACATCGACCTTAATAGGTTTTATCGAATGGAGGATTGAATCCTAGCGTGATTTTGGTGCAGTCTTTTTCAGCCGGGAAAATCTATGGAAGACGGACAGTTCCAAACTCTACAGTACAGTACCACCTCTAAGAAGTTTTGAATAATGGATACATTTCGGAGTTCAATGCCTGGTTTGGCATGACACGTTCCTTCGGCAATCTTCCCATTACCGAAATTGAGCCGCCTTGACTTCATCCACAGTACTGCGAACAGTCGAATTATTAACCTTTCTTTCCACGGCCATCACCGCTCTTGGTGACGTCATCCAATAGTAAAGCTTGGTCAAATTATAGGACAAATAGAAGGATATAGTATTGGATGAAGAATGCAGGCCCACTATCCCTTTCTCTTATCCGTAGATTTAGCGACGCTCTCATCATACTCGAGCGGGTATTGTGCCAGTTGCTACAAACACGTCTCGTGAATCTTATGCTTGGCCAGGTCCACATCAGAACCAACATGTCATCATACACACGACGCCTGCGGATTTAGGTACCCCGAAAGTAGTCTCACAATGCAGGGTGGAGAAGTTAAACCAACAGATCTAGCTAGCACGTTTCGTGGCTGAATCATTTACCGTCGTTGTAGAGCATCGCGTTTCCCAACCTTTGTTCGACTATTGCAAGCTCATTAGGATATCAAACAGTGAAACAAAATTGCAAGTAGTTATGAAACAGTAAGAGGTATCCCTAAGTGGGTTCCGGCACGGCTGATAGCTCCTGTTGTCAAATATCGTGCTGTGACACTCGCTACAGGGTCCTCTCTAGACTTGCAAGTTTTTTGCGCTTTATTTTTAACTCGCTCAAATGCTTTCCTGCTTGCATCTAATATAAGCCAGCTCCTCACATTTCCAATTTTTCCTTTGATTTCGGTTCCTCCTTCGAAATCGAAAGGATGATTTTCTAACTGAAGAGGGAGGATGTGATCGCCAATGCCGGACCACGGATAAGTCACGATTGGAACCAAGGTTTGCCCATCACTGCAGATTACTAATCTGTATTCATGTCACTAGAGCGTGTGTACCATTTCTTCAAACTTAACATGATCCGGTGCTTCGACTTTCGCAAGATGCATGCGTGAACCGAATATGAATTTTGAGATCCCGATCATTCGACACATTTGAAATATAACAATAGTTTAAATTGGTAAGCTACCCCCTTTCGCCAATACGTTTCTGTCTACTGCGGCTTGCAAAGTGAAGCAAAAACTGAAACAAGATCCCCCAAAATCTCTATGTATACGTACTACAAGAGGTTTGATCACAGCTATCTTCTGTGCTCATCGCTTTCACTAAGAGGGCATTTCTGAGGAATCGCCACTGTATTACTCTGGGTGAGTCCAGTAAGCTCCAAGATTCAGTCATGCAAATTCTCAGCTGAGACACCGGTAGGAGAGTGGTGATCATCTACGCCGCCATCTTAAATCCTTTTCCCTTTCGATCAATACTTCCAGGATCACCCCACCCTTGTTCACCCCATACAGAGACCCGCTCCTAGCATCGGCATAGGAAATATTCTCCCATCCGTACCAACTCCAACTCCTTTGCCCGTCATGTATTAGCCGGGACGTGTTGTTATTACCTTGCCACTCGGAATACTTGTTTCACGGACCGAGTTCGTCTTAATCGGCTCAGGCACCAGAAGTGGACTATGCCGACACATCCGAGAGTATCACGCGCGCCTCTCCTACCCTGGCGACTGATTTGTTGTCAGAATTGAGACTTGGCGGGACCTTAAAAGAGAGACCTATAGTCCAGGTGTCCTCGTTCCTCCTTTCTACTCTTTCATTCTGTTGATCTTTTCTTCCTTTCCACTTCTACAGTATGAGATACAAGAAAAGAGTGACAGAGGACAACGAACATAAAGATATCACACCCTATTATCGTTACGCCTTCATATCGTAGCAGTGTCGAAGCCTTGGAGAGTGAGACAGATCACGGGTATAACGTCTTACGAGCTGGTTGGTGAGTACGAGATGCGTTCATTGAGAATACGGCCGAGTCCACACGAGACAATTTCAACCGAATTGACAGTATTCTAGGACAGAATCCTTTCGTTTTTGACATAAACATTAACAGACGACATTCTCCACATGGATAGCTTCCAAAGCCTACCCGGAGCTTCCTGTTCCGGAGATATCAACATGTTCGAGAATTCGCCACTCATGGTGTTTCCATCGGCGAGTTCACCTACGGGGACCAGTTTCATCGACACATTGGCGATGAATGCTGAAGAATACGGTGTGGCCAACGATTTGCAAGGCCCATCTTCTTGGAAAAGTGACCGAATGCAGACTCCTATCGACTATGGTTCGGGAAGCATTGATTTAGAAGAGAGTGTAGAGTATATCGATGAGTCTCATCAGACATCCCCCGCTTCGGAAGAAGGAGAATACAGACAACATTCTGTATCTCTCGAGGATGGCGCCTCTAGCGTACAAAGAAGCTCACAAGCTGATACCGAAGCAATGATCGTTCCAAGGGAAAGAGGAAAACGTCGAAAAGTCACCCCACAGTCAGCTGGTAGTGAAGAGGTGTTTGAAGAATACACAAACGATGCTGATCGGACCGTCGCATTGCCGAAACGAGGGAAAGTTTCCGAGGTAACATCCGGCATGTCAGGATCCAGAGAAAGGTTCTCGAGGAACGGAGCCACAAGGAATCCTCGAGGACGTCCACCTGGCAGACGAAAGACTGACCCTTGGGGAGGAACCACAGTGCAGCATAAAGTCAGAACCGTCACTAGACCCCCCGGTATTGTAAAAACAAGAAGTGGGAGGGCCTCTGTCACTCCAAAAGCCCAGGATACAATCCGCGCCCCTGAAAGTGTTCGCACGAATGAAAGGATTAAACCGCGAAGAACCAGGCCACTCCAACGTCAGACGGTCACTGAGCTGGTGGCAGACAATAGTCAAGAAACATGGGAGATGACAAGTGGTTACAAGGCCGTGGGATGCTGGGAACGACGGCCCCAAAAGGAAGTGGAAGAGGAAGAGGAAGAGGAAGAGGAAGAGGAAGAGGAAGAGGAAGAGGAAGAGGAAGAGGAAGAGGAAGAGGAAGAGGAGGAGGAAGAGGAAGAGGAAGAGGGCGATAAAAATTGGCTCTACCTCCACCGGAAAGTCGCCTTTTCCAGTGTCATGACCCTCGGAAGTAATCTTCCGAGGAACAAATTCCATTGGGGAAAGGTGAAGGTTGACGGTCTTAATGAATTCGGTCAAATGGTCATCCCGCCAGGTGGCTCCAAAGAACGATCACGAATGCAGGAATTTAACCTCCTCTTCATAATTCTACAAGGTCCAGTTACTGTTGAGATTAACGATCAGTGTTTCAAGATCAATACGAGGAGTATGTTTGTGGTCCCTAAAGGTTGGTCGCAAGTACTTCCTCGAAACATACAAAGAAATCCCGGACTGATGAATCTTCACACAGGGAACTACTATCGTATCACTAACAAAGACAAAGAATCTGCTTTAATAGCCTTTGTATTCATGAATTCGATCTCAGACGCGACGGGGGAAAGTCAACCTCAACGATAGACATCTATTTTATGAAGTTAAACATGAAAACGCGTGTGTTGACTACGAATCCTTCGACGCCACAATCTGACTATAGATTACTTACGATATCACGGGAGTAATAAGATGTTATTCTTCAATAGCCCTTTATCCGTATTATCTCAAAGTTGCGCTGTGGGATTTGCAATACAATACCCCTTTCAAGTAATGCGATATACAAAAGAAGGAATGGCAGTTCCCTACCACTCGCAGTATGGATCCACAGCCCGATGGGTAGCATCAAGGGCCCTTCCTTGCGATCTCTCTTTTTCAGTAACCTTCCAAGAAATAGTCGAAGACCAAGCATCCCTCCTTTACAAAACCAGAGTTTCCACGACCTGTGCTACAAATTAGACGGAACCTCCATGGGATGGATAAGTCTTACATTCCCTCTGCAGCATGCCCAGATCCAACCTGCACATTTTGATAGTCAAAGAGCTTTGAGGGGAACTATCTGCGCACGACGGTTGCTGCTTGACCGAAAAGTTATACCATATTTTGTTTCTCAGGTAGCTTCGTTCTATAGTTCTCTGAGTATGAGAGTATTGACTTTGTGCGTAGGTACAGAACCTAGATGCATATTCGTTGAACATGTCTGAGGAAGGGGCTTTTTCGATGGATGGGGAAGTGCAGTTAAAAAACACTGTTTGTGGTTTCTCGGCTACTATCCACTCTGCCATAACGGCATTTGCCCAAATTGCGGTAACAAGCCAGCTGTAAAAAGCCATGACGTGAAGACAGAACAGCTGAAAGTTGGCTTTTATTTCACATGATAGTGAAGGTGGCCGCGATTGTCTTATAAGAATAATCCGTAACTAACTTCGAGTACAGTATTGAGCATTTGCACTTTCCGTCCCAAAACATGCGCCTCGTGAAGTCTAGGGTAGGGACACTGGGGTAGCCGGCCCCACCCCGGAAGCTGGTGTTTCGTCAGAGTTTGGCCGCCTAATGGGCGTAGAAGCAGTTACGCCATGTCGGATCAGAGCCTCTATTATCCCACGATCAGCATCAGACAGCCGCGGTGGCATCATTTGTCAGCACGCTGAATATTATTATAGACGTCTATGAAGGGCCTGAAGCTGACTACTGTCACTATCAGTATCTGGACGCATTACGACGCATTTTCGAATAGTCTTATTTCCGACATTTGATCCTGCAGGCACTGTGCAAGTCATGTCAGCCACGAATGGGTTTGTGATCAGAAATTTTATTTGCCTTGAAAACCAGATATGCGAACATAAAGTATGCGGCCATCGGCGCAATTTCGACACCTTTCTTTTTGTTAATTCCGGGACTGTACCCAGTCCGTGTCTTAGTTGGTCTTTGCCCAAATGCGTTCAGTCTCTGTACTTATCTGTATACTGATGACACCCTGGGTAATTGCGCTTTGGTCTGCTGCTTCCATTGATGAGCGTGGCAGCACCCTAGAAGGATTCACCAAGGTGGATCCCAATGGGGCTCAAGGAGTCGAAGCCACCGCGGCAAATATGCTCGTTGAATCTCCTTCTGGGAAAAAGCCGCATCTTCTTGCAGGCCGTGATCCAAGTTCCCGACCCTTACTAGTAAAGCTCGTTAACAACTTCGGCCACGGTAATGTCAAAGCTTACATTTCCGGCTTGGACCCGAACGGCAATGTTTTTTTTGTAGGCTCTGATGGCACTTCCATCTACCCTGACGCTAAATCGTCTCGTTCGCCTGTTGAGATCTCGCAAGAGATAGCTATACCTCTACGCTCAGGGAACGAGCCGCTCAGCATAAAAATCCCCTCTTACATTCGCTCTGGGCGTGTCTATTTCTCAATTGGTGACCTGAAGTTTTTCGTTGTCGACATGGGTAAGGGTAGCAGCATAATTCAACCTTCTGTGACGAATCAACGGGACCCAAACGCGAACACAAACTGGGGTTTCATAGAGTTAACCTACATCGACGAACTGCTTTACGCTAATATCAGTTACGTTGACTTTGTCGGTATAGTTCTAGGAATGATGCTCGTCACAAAAGATGGGAACAGCCAAACCACAGCTGGGCTTGAAACAGACGCAGTCACCAAGATATGTAAAGACTTATCAAAGCAAAGCAAGCTAGACGGTCATCGCTGGACTTCTTTGTGTGTTATAAACGCCGACAGGAATCCAATTCGCGTATTGTCTCCTGGCAACTACCATGACATCAACCCGGAGATGTACGATAAGTATTGGGATAGCTATGTTGCCGATGTTTGGAGGAAGTATGCCGCGCAGGATCTCATCATAGACACGCAATCCGAGGCGGGTGTGGTCAAATGCAGGGTTGTTGGTGGCAAATTAGTTTGCAATGGAAGCGAACAGAGGTTCGACAAGCCTACCGCGAAAGATATCTGGGGTTGCAATAGTGGGCCGTTTGCTGCCTCCCAGCACAGTACTCCAATTCACATTGCTGTCATTCCACGCCTTTGCGCCGCTTTCGTGCGATCTACTTTGCTAGTTGAAGGTGGAAACATACAGCCGAGCTTAGGCCAAGAGTCTTACTACACCACTGATACTACCAATCATTACAGCCGGATCGTTCATTCGTATGAGATTGACGGCAGAGGTTACACATTTGCCTACGACGATGTTAATCCAGATGGCACTGAAGATTCATCTGGCGTACTGAGCTCAAACAATGTTCAAGCGCTAGTAATCCATGTTGGTGGTCCCATTACACAAGTATCGCCACGATAAATTGGTTTCATGTTTTGTATTATTTATATGGTCGTGAACAAAGTCGTTTAAGCTATCATCACCAAGGTTTTCCCCTCCCTGATTTGGGCTATTCGGTACATCGTATTGACGATTTGGAACTAAGTGAGACGGGGCATAATTTACGAGTGACCAGTGGAATTGACGAGTTAAGATAAGTACGAAGGTGGTGCTCTATATCTCAAGGACAGGAACTAGTAACTAGGTGATTGGACAGCATTGTTATATGACTGCACCAGTATTTAACCGGATGGTGATACTTTATGACTGTCTTGTTTCGTGACTGCCTGCGCGCCAGCATTCCCCGCAGATAGCCAACAGTCTACATACCCAAGATGCGGTGCTTGTTTTGGGTGACCGTAGACCCCAAGCCAATCCGACGCAAAGTGGCGAGCAGCAGCATCCCAGGCCTACCGCTATCGGAAAAGGATCGTGTCTGAAAGGAGAACGGAGTGGCGACGCATGACGTTCCTTCACCTTTGTTCGCCAACAACCTGACCTGTATCACAAAAGCATATCATCGAGCAGTACCGCCAGAAAATCAGGTTCAGTCGGAATCTTGAGTTGCCTATTTTTATTTTTCACTAGCATAGTGTTCCCGAAATTAAAAAGCCCGTGCCATCCCTCTGCCACGCGACGCGCATCAGCCTAGTAAGAGACCCATCAGTGTGACTGTTCAAGGCTTGATTCGGATCGGTCCCACGACGTAAAGGTCTCAGTACGAGTTAGCCGACTTCAAGACACGGGAGCAAGGGCATCCTACACATCGTTGATCCGTCTCCAATGTGATTGATGGTGACATTGAAGTTGTGTTTCTTACATACCCACCCAATCACGACTAACCCATACATGCTCGTACGACTTCAGCAGAACGACTGTCACCCTGTTTGTTTATACGACAGATCGCTTGCAGATCTCTTTCGAGGACAAATGCCAATCGTCATTCACATCCAGATGTCGAAAGGGCACCCAGGTTTCTTCATCTAATCAAATAATCTTCTCCTGATGTGATCAACAACATCGTGCTTGACAGCCTCGGTTAAGTCGCCTTTCTCAATAAAGTCGGCCCTGTTTTTCAAGACATCAAGTGTATCCCGGATATCTGTCAGGTCCTCATCGTTGCTCGCCAGACCCGCAGCGTTTCCCCAAGTCTGGTCCTCAATGCGAGTAATATCATCGTCCCGATTGTCCATACGTGCAGCCAACTCAACAATGGTTTCTCTCAACTCTTTGTTCTCGTTTTCAAGTCGCACTATCCGCTCCACGAATGTATGAGACACTTGCTTCTCTATATTTGCACGGATTCTGTCCTCCATCATATCAAACATTTTCCTTTCTCTGGTGGTAAGCTCAGCCGGCAAGTCATCGTCTGACATTCGGCGTCGTCGCTTGAGCGGAGTGCTGGGCACGGCAAGAGCAGTCGACGGGGATGTGACCTCATCATACGATGGGGGCGGTTGTGTAATCTGAGTTAAGATAGAAACAACTTTTGCACCCCTACCGCCATAGAGGCTCTTGAGGTCATACTTGCTATCATTCTCCTGGTAACAACGCTGGCTGCAGGTCCTGCTCATATACTGCAGAGCCTCACGCGAGAGGTCACCGTCGATAATGTAAACGTATAAGTCGGTCGTATTGGAGATTTGTGCGATTTTCCCAAGAACGTCTCTGGATTGCCTTTGAATTGGTTTGACAGGTTCCTCGGCGTTGACAGGGACAAGTACGTCGATTTTCCTTTCCGTTTGTAACCTGATGCGCGTGAGCCGAGATGGGCGAGATGACAGCTTATTGTGGATGTCGCCATGTGCTGTCGTGGTCGATTCGAAAGTGAGTGTCTTGACCGCAGAAGCACTAATGCGTAGAAGCAATGCCGAAGGTTTGTTATCGCCGTTTTTTGTAGACTTTACATGCTTGACCCTGCTCCGTTTTATCTTGAATGGTATACACAGCTCGAAATAGAAAGGAGTCGCGTCGAATCGTGTCGCAAAGGTAATGTGCTTGTCGGGGGGGTCGGGATTGATCAAACAGCACGTTGGATCGTCCAATGACCACTGGACGACAGCGTTCATCGATTTCTTTATACCCATTTCCGACATTGCTGTATGTTCGGTACAGTAAAGCAGTTAGCTAGACAAGACTTTGGGCACACTTACCTGATGACTCCTATGCAGCACAGCACGTCACGTCACGTCACATCCCTATACAAAACAGACCGAGAAAGCCAGCTTCGCCGGCAGGTAACCCGTTAGCCCCCAGAGCAAGCTGGTAAGCCAAGTGTCAGTCCTCCAGAACATGCTGGTAGGATGAGCCAGGCCCCTTCACAGCCCCCGGTTGTTCCAACGAAGAAGGCAAGCGCCCCGTTCGAAGGGTACAAATCGGAATTTTATACGGACTGTGCGACGATTCACCAGATTTTGGACGGTGTTCTGTATTGTGTTGATAATGGCGTTGGTGACGGCGATGGCAATGGATAAGAGGAGAAGAGATGGAGGAGAAGATGAGGAAGAGAAGAAAAGATGGGGAGGCTGGGATTAAAGGGGCGGCTACTAGAGATGACTCAGCTCCTCCAAATACATGGCATATGATTGGTTGATTGTTGCGGCCTCACGATCAACCTTGCTTTGAAATTGGCCTCAGGCAGCCATGAATTGCAATCAACCTCAAGCCTCAGTGGGAAAGCACCCACCACACGTTTATCGAAAAGCTGAGGATCAGTATTGAGAACTAAAAGAACAATAAAAAATGATTCCGAAGTTTATACATACGATATCAACAATCGTAGTTTTCTTCCTCTTGACGGTCAGGCTTTTTTCGATACTTTGAAGAATGTGCTCTGATTGAAGTTTGACTGAGTCGCGTTACGCGAGCTCAAACGGGTCTGCGGCAGTGCAACACACAAAAGCCATCAACGTTTGAGGCATGAAACCTTCATTTTGTTACCGGACGAAAAATCGAATCAACTGACCAAAAGGGATGCAGTGACACTTCGAAATGGCAGTAGCCTTCATGGACATCTCCGTATTTTCTTTTTTGAAGCTCAAAATACAGACACAGGCTGTTACTATCCACATTGTGCCGTACAAAGTGGATTTAATGATAGGGTAGGTTTGATTAGTATTGCGACGTAGCGCTGCATGTTCTGTTGGCCCAAGACAAGCAGCAAGTATGCAGTAAAATTTAGTAATAAGCGTAAGAAGGGCCAGTTCATTTATCGCACCCAGCTGGGAAAGAATCTCTTGTAATAGACGACATGAAGATTGTGAAGAAACTGCAAAGCAAGATACCTAGAAACCAAATGCTTGTGTGTCATGGCAGAGTTCAGATCAGAACCAGAGAAATACTAATGTATTCACGTACAGCAACTGAGGAAACACGAGCCAGCTCTCGAAAACAGAAACAGCTAGAATATACCTGCCAAAGTGGTCTGTCGATATCACAAGTAGATTGTAGAAATTCCATTTGCTACAAATAAGCGACAAATGACAAACAATCCTAGGACTCACTGACTCGCGCTAGGTAGAGGGAGAAAACATGAGGAAAAGAAAAAAAAAAAAAAAAA